GTTCATTTGTCCTAGTGGTATGTAGACCTATTTGGATCAGCATCCCAGGACTGAAAATTATTGTTTTTTTAGAATGCAGCAAGCATTTATATTCTATTTTGTACACTATATTTTTTTTAAATAACTGTACATATTTATGGAGCAAAAAGATAAGCTGAACAACATTGTTGTTGTGGGGGTCCCAGAGCAAAGTGACCCTCACACACAACAAACTGTGGAAAAAATTTTGCACAAGATGCAGGTGCCCCTAAAAAATGGTGATATAAAGGAGAGTTTCAGACTGAATAAAAGCGGCAAAGGACCAATCTTGGTGAAATTTGATAATTACCAGATAAAGAAGCAACTATTTACACGGATAGGACAAATTAAGGGGACTACAGTGAAGAAATGCGATCTGGAGGGAAACGATCAAAGACTGTTTTTCAATGATGATCTCACACTCAAAAATCGCACACTATTCAAGAAGGCTAGGGAACTGAAACAATCAAAAAATTTCAAAGCAGCATATTGTATGAATGGACACATTTACATCAAAAAGAATGATGTTGATCGACCCATTAAAATAGTGAGTGAAAAAGACCTTCTTCTTTGTTTGTAGAAACAAATATCTACTAAGACTATAATACAGAAGAGTCAAAGAACTAAAAATTTAACATTCATAGATCTAAATAATATCTGTGATGAGTATAAGGCTCGTGAAACGACTATTTGTGATACTTTGTCTCAATTAACCACATTTGACAATAACAACAGAGACATTAATATAATCCATGTAAATGTGAGAAGCATTTATAAAAATTTTGATATTTTTTTAGTATTTCTGGAGTCTACTGGTAAGATGTTTGATATCATAGTTATGACAGAAACCCATATTGTTCATGATAAAAATAATTTTAACATTCCTGGATACTCTGTATTCTGGAATGAAAGCACCATAAATCAGTTTGATGGATGTATGATATATGTAAGACAGAAATATTTCCAGAGTTGCAGCATCCTAGAATCAAACAATCTAAAATGTCTACATGTTTCACTATACAAAAACAATAATCTTATTAACATTTTGGGACTCTATAGATCACCAGCAACAGATATGGATGGTTTTGTGAATGATTTAGGTAACATTTTGGATACTACTTTATCCGATACTAAGCAAATTTATGTTCTGATAGGGGATATAAATATCAACTTACTCGATACAGCATCTCCAACAGTAAATAACTACATAACTATGCTAAACTCATATGGATTTTTGAGCATGATTAATAAACCAACTCGTGTACAACATCAGAGTGCTACATGTATTGACCATTGCTTTGTAAAATGCAACAATACAATGTACGATAATCTAAATCCAGTTATATTGAAGAGAGATTTCACTGATCACTACCCCATCCTGTTGAATATTAAGCTTAATACAATTAGTAGATCTGAAACCTCTCAAAATAGACCTGTATTTCGAAAAATTAATTTTAGAAATTTAAAACAAAAATTGTCTGTTGAAAGTTGGAAGGATGTGCTTGAGAGTACTGATGCTGACTCATGTACAGAAGCATTCATTGATCTCATGCAGAAATATGTACAAATGTGTAGCACTATGACTCATGTAACCAATAAACAAATAAGGCTGAAACCCTGGATCACAAGTGGACTCTTAATTTCCATACGTAAAAGAGACAAACTGAAAAAAATATGCACTTTAAATCCAAATAATGTTGAAACATTAAATACTTACCGGCGATACAGAACTAACTTATCTAAACTAATTAAAAAATCTAAATATAACTATTATAAAGCAAAAATTAATCAAAACTCGACAGACTCAAGAAAAATTTGGAAAATAATAAGAGAAGCCACAAATGACTCAAATGTTAAATCAGATATAGGTGCAATTTATAATGATCAAAATATTGAGGTCACTGATAGGAAATTGATGGCAAATGAGTTCAATAAATACTTTAGCAATGTTGGTCAAAAACTAGCACAAAAAATCAACCCACCATCTTGTGAGCCAGGGTCCCAGCAAAAAGTATGTAATCCGGAATCTTTCTTTTTGTCACCAGTCAGAGACCATGAACTTCTGGAGCAGATAAAAAACCTTAAGTGTGGTGTCTCTTGTGGAGAAGATGGCATCACATCGGAGGTGATAAAGTATAATCATGAATATTTACTGCGACCCCTAGAGCACATTATAAATGTCATTTTTGGTTCGGGAGTGTATCCAACTGTCCTTAAAGAAGCCCAAATTACTCCCCTTTATAAAGGGGGCGACAAGAAAATGACAACTAACTATAGACCAATTGCACTAATAAGCACTGTTAGTAAAGTAATAGAAAAATGCATTAAACATAAATTGATGATATTCTTAAATAAACATAATCTATTATCACAGAACCAGTTTGCTTTTAAAAATAACATCAGCACAGAGAATGCATTGTGCAAAGTGACAGAACAGATTATAAAGGGTTTGGATAACAGGGAAAGGGTTGCTGTCATATTTCTGGACTTGGCAAAGGCCTTCGACACGGTGGCGCACGAAGTTCTATTAAACAGATTACATGATATGGGTATAAGAGGCTTAGCTAATGATCTATTTAAGACATACTTAATTGATAGAACCCAAAAAGTTAAAATTGGGAATGTAAGAAGTGATTCTGTAAAGATGGGAGTTGGTGTACCGCAGGGAACTGTGCTGGGGCCTTTGTTATTTAGCATATAAAATATATAAATGGTATTTTTTCTGTATTAACTGAGGGAGGGGTTTTCTGTTTTGCAGATGATAGTGTTATTATAGTGAAAGGGAATACATGGAAATCAACTATTAGGAAAGCGGAACTAGCAATAACAAACATAAAAAGATGGTTAGATTTTAGCTTGTTATCACTTAACATTGATAAAACTCACTTCATGACCTTCACTCTAACTCAGGCAACCCTTCCGGAAGTTCAAGAACTCAAGGTTCATGATTCTGTTTGTGACATGCAAGCCTTAAGCTGCACATGTCAGTCCACAATCAAAAGAAAAGACAGTCTGAAGTATCTGGGGGTATTCATGGATGAAAAATTAACTTGGAAAACACACATAGACTACGTAACTTCTAAATTAAGAAAGCTGATTTATAAATTCTACGAGCTACGAAACATATTACCATTTAAAACTCTTAAATCCATATACATGTCGTTAATTGAATCAATTTTAAATTATGGTATTGTTGTCTGGGGAAATGCCCGAAAGAATATTATATCAGCCCTAAATGTAGCTCAAAAATATGTAATTAAAATCATGTATTTTAAAAATAGAAGATATCCCTCCGATTTATTATTCCATGAGTGCAAACTACTGACTTTAAACCAACTATATATGCTGGCGGCAATTCGTTTTATGCTAAAAACAAATTATTATAAACAGGAGATTACCCATCAACTCAATACTAGAAATGCAATTCGTCAGAATGTGATTATACCATCTGTGACCACTTCAGCCATACAGAGACACCTTTACTTTACTGGTCCAAAACTTTATAATATTTTACCTCCTTGCTTGAGAACAAGGAAGTACTGTCAGGTTAGGCATAGGATTAGGAAATGGATAGTGGATAGTGGAGTAACTATTGATGGTTTTGATTGGATTTAACTTTAATCTATTTTTATTTAATTTTGTTGAATTTTGTTAAATTTTGTCAAATCTGTTAAATTAATTCCATGTTATTAGATAATTATTAACCTTACCAGTGATATTATTATATATATTTAAGTTACGGCAATAAGTATTAACATCTGCACACACAGATTTTATAATCCATTGTGCAGTTCCAAGTCATTTGTACCTAATTATTGTACCTGAGTATTGAATAAATTATTATTATTATTATTAAATTATTATTATTATTATTTTAAACATTTTTTAATAGTGGCCTTATTAAGAGCAGAGTGATCAAAATAAGGCCAATGGTAAGCGTCTTTGTTTTATGCAAAAACCACCACTTTTTCAAAAATTAAATAAACTGGCTCGTGATTTTTGTTGGGCATGATGGATAACGTTAGGAAAAAATTAAACTTCTTAACATGACCTTATTTGGAACAGGTACCTTATATCAAAAAGAAGGAATTTCAAAAAATATGTAGGTATCTCTAGAAAAAATTTCAGAATTTGTACCTTCCTATTTTTTCACTTTATATTTTGTGTTTTATTCCTGAAAATACTCTGGAATTATATTTCAGTAGAAGACCAGAAAAAAATTACAAATAAGGAATAGAAAAATTGAGACAAAGTGTTAAAGAAAAGGAATTTTAAAGAATATTTATCTCGATATTTATTGAAAAATCTCAAAAACTGTATTATGTAAGTAGCTTGATCCTGCTCAGGTGTCCACTAAAATGTCGTTTTTAATAACAAATTCAAATTAAGACTATATATTATAAATGTGACAAAATAACTGAGACATAATGATCTGATCTGATGTTTAAGAATTTTCTCCAATATTCCAATTTAAGTATTTATTTTTCTCAAAACTGAAACAAGCCCTAGTCAACATAAAAAAAAAACTGAATACTTGGACTGCAGTTTCCACCTCAGGTAACTTCAGAACCAAAATTATGTAAACTCCTGTAAAAATTAGTTTTTTAAAAAAATTAAAATTAAATTCATGATTCATGAATCATGAGGCATGGTATGGACCTGTGGACCTGTCTAGCTATTCTAAAAATAACCAGGTAACATAATTATTCTATTGTGAAACTTCTTATCCTGGATACCTATTATCTGTAAAAATGCGTTCCAAGTGTTTTATACGTAAACAAGGAAAATTTGAAATTCAATTAATTTTTAAATACACATTAGCATTGAATCATATTGTTTAATTCATAAATTCGTTTTAATAAGTGGAACAATGATCAAGCAAATCATGCCAGCGCCAGCATATGGAATTGATTTACGAGCACATGCAACTGATACAATACAAATGTTACATAAATGAATAAAGGGTTAATTTTAAGAAATACCTTTTCCTTCAACTTTTTCTTTTTTCCAGCTGTTTTCCGGTCATCCAGACCGCTGGGAAATTTGGGTTGTTGTGCAGGTCTTATGGAATATGTAAACAACAAAATACCTGCGAATACAACAAGCGCCACAGGCACTACCAAAAATAACTGACTCTGTACAAATTCCGTTATTATTTCCATTATTGTGCCGTTCTAGGATCAGAGGTACCACACAAAACTGCCACGACTTTCTTATCTTTCACAAAAGTGCTGGATAATCGAGTACAAATTTTTGTTTCTTGATTGACAAAAATTTTAAGGTGACGCGGCTGTGTGCTGTGTGTGACGTATACACACTTGCCACATTTCATTTTTGACAATTGACTGTTTCGATTGGGAGTCAATAGATGGCGCTAGCTAGTAAAATTCAAATAAAATCGGTTCAGATTGTTGCTAAAGCAAGGTCTACACGCCACATGTACCTTACGATTTGCACGTGCAGTATATTTTAGGACCATATTCTCCGTAGTTCATAATATAAAGCTTCTGGCGTAGTGGAAAAGCTCGGCTTTGTCACACAAAAAGCCAAGAGCCGTATTCTCCGTAGTCCATAAAGCCTGGCTTAGTGAAAAACCTCGGTTTTGTCACACAAAAAGCCAAGCGTTTCCACTAAGCCAGGCTTTATGAACTACGGAGAATATGGCCGCAAGCGTTTCCACTAAGCCAGGCTTTATGAACTACGGAGAATATGGCCCTTAGTCATTAGTAATGGAGGAAGGAATTGTTGTTGTGGAGTATTTCGATGTTTTGTTTGAATGTTAAAAGAAAAGGAGAAATTAGGAAACGTTTCAATAGAACTAGACCTTATTTTTTTTTGAAGTGTAAACTTCTTCCATTTGGGTACTGAATGAAAATGAGCCGTCACGCTCGGATGTGTAACGCGCATTCGGGTACAGTCGGCTTTCATACAGACTTAAGACCAGTTTATCAGTGGACGGTTATCTAGTTTAGCTGTCGGTCAACCAATGATAATTTATTAGTTAGTTTGAGTTACAGCTAAACTAGTTTTTTTTAACCGTCCACTGATAAAACGGTTCTTACTATACAGAATCTTGAGCAAATAGATTTGAATCAAAAGTACCTATTCACCACATCTGTTAGTTACCATAAATTTTTCATCTTTAGAGTATGATACATAGGAAAATCAATCTGGGCAATGAATAGTGGTTCATTTACATTCACTTCAAAGTCCAATTTGTCTTGAAATTGACGTGCTTGCCATATGGCGACAGCACAGATCCATTTACATTGAAATAAATTTGAAGTTCAATTCGAAGTGCACTTTAAATTTGGGCGATCTGCTTGCCGAGGGCAAGCAGAAAGGACCCCGCACATTTCTTATGGAAAAGTGATCTATGTGGAATTTTGCTGAATTTTTGATATTGTGTATAAGGAGTCGTCCTTAACAAAAGTGGTCATTGCGCTAATGTTTAATACCCAACAGTTTTCAAGATATCTATTAAAAACTTTTTTAATTTGACACTCTTCAGTATGACGTCACCAGTATGCTCACAGCACCGAAAATTAGAACTATCCTTTTCACTTTTGACTTTGACTACCTTACCTATACTTATACTCTTCTCCTTTTAACATTTAGGAAATAGAAAAAAAACAACAACAGGTACAAATGAAATCGCTATATGACAGACATCATGACATGAAGTTGACGATTGCGGCAGGTGCTAGAGGCAATGAACTATAACCAAAAACTGGAATGCTAACACATAAGGACGAACGTGAAGCCTAGTGCGGCTGCTGCGGAGGGGATACCTGTTTTTGTCGCACTCATTATGTTAAATGGCGAAAATTGCTTCCAACACGTATTCCAATTGATGAAACCTGTGAAGGAAAATATGACAAAACTTTCGAAAACGTCATATGTCAGCGAGCAACAGAAAAAGACAACATTCCCCGTTGTGGCATCTGTCTTTCATGGCTTCATTTTTTTGGCAGATATGGCACTGTGTGCGCATTCCAGTTTTTAGCTCTAGTTCATTGGCTAGAGGTGCTGTTTACATACCTACCCATTTGTCACTAATCGCTATCGCTATCTTTTTTTTTCTTAATGTTAAAAGGAGAAGAGTGAAGTCAAAGTCAAAAATGGAAAGGATAGTAATAATTTTCGTTGCTGTGAGTGACGTCATACTGAAAAAATACATAAATCTACGCTTTCGTAAGTATTCGATGCATTCGCTATGGCTTCTTTGGTTGCAAAACCTTTGATAAAATTAACAGAGTGATGTGACAGGTGCTGTGTTACCTAAAACTCCAGTAGAGGCAAATGGGGTCGTTAATTTAATGAAACTTGTTCGACTATCACTTTTACAATCACCAAAGACACATCGCTTCATCGCCTCTCGATAAAACATATCACGTTCTCCCAAAACTGCCATAATTATTAAATTTAAGCCCAAAAGTGAAAAAAAATTAATAACATTGACAATGCTATTTATAGGTTATGTGACTTTGTTTGTCGTCATTCATAATGAAATCTTCTATATCTTGAAAACTGTTGGGTATTGAACATTAGCGCAATGATCACTTTTGTTAAGGACGACTGCCTCTACACAATATCAAAAATTCAGCAAAATTCCACATAGATAACTTTTCCATAAGAAATGTGCGGGGTCCTTTGTGAAATGTCAAATTTTTAGATTATCCATCCGATTCTCATAAAACTCTGACGTTTTGACTTGACGTTTATGTTCTGCAATGTAAATGATAACATACGAACGTCAAATTTAACTTGAAGTTAGAAGTGAATGTAAATGCTCCTTAGGTCTGTTTCTGCAGAAATCACAAACCAGTCAGAGCGAATTTCATTGATTGAAAACAGTCAGAAAGAGTCAGAAAACTAGTTACAACCTCAGGTTTCAACCAATGAAATTCACTCTGACTGGTTTGTGATATCTGCAGAAACAGGCCTATTAATCCCGCCTAATTAGGGAATCCAAACCACGTGACTTTTGCCAACCAGCCGGCATTTTGAAATTAATATGAGGTCAGAATACGGGTTTTTACATGTCAAGGATGTCAGAACAGTGTCAGATTTGAGTATTCGCCCGTCGCCCCGTGTATTTTAGACTATCCAAGATCCTGTCAAACTTAAATTAAAATGTCCGCCAAGAGGCACACAAACTTCATGTTTACTTGTCAAAGTGACGTGTTTTGGATAGGCTGACTATTCAAGGTGCTGTCAAAGTTTTGTGCTGTCAAACTTAAATTAAAATGTCCGCCAAGAGGCACACAAACCCTTTGTTTGCTTGTCAAAGTCACGTGTTTTGGATAGGCTAATTAGGCAATCCAACGACCTGCCCAAATGGCGTCTGGATGGCAAACAATAAACAAAAAACATATGTTTTTTTTTGGCAGGATTAAGCCTAGTACTCATAACAGTGAAATTCGCTCTTTTTTGACATTGCTTCGACAATTTGACGTTTTATGCGTGAATCAAACGTCAAATTATCGAAGCAATATCAAAAAAGAGCGAATTTCGCGGTTATGAGTACTAGGCTTTATCAATACACGGGGCGAGTAGTCCAATCTGACACTTTTCTGACCTCGTTGACATGTAACAACTCGTATTCTTACCTCATACAAATTTCAAAATGCCGACTGGTTGGCAAAAGTCACGTGGTTTGGATTCCCTAATTGATAAAGCCTAGTACTCATAACCGCGAAATTCGCTCTTTTTTGAGATTCCCCTCGTTTTTATCCTCATCGGTAACCTCACCGATGAGTTAACTATCTTTGTTTGGTGAATGGGAAATGACATTGACATTTTAGGGAAGCCTTAACGATAAGTATTCCCCAAACTGACAGTTTTCCATGGAGAAATGTCAGTTTAGGGAATACTTATCGTTAAGGCTTCCCTAAAATAGTTGGTGGAAACGGTCATTAATCCTGCCAAAAAATTTCATCGTTTTAGTAAAAAGGTACCTACCTTATGATTTAGATTTTGGAAAACTTTGAAAGGTCATAACTTTTTTTCTATCGTAGATAGAAAGCTGAAACTTTCACTGAATTTTATCCCAATCAAGGGACTACAAACCCTGAATCCCTGATTTCAGCTCATTTGCACTTATAGTTCCTGAGATAAAATCGTGTTAAGCAATTTGGGGTGATTTATCAATTTTACAATTTTTCTGAGTGCCTCTTTTCATAGATTAGGATACAAAATCCAGACAAAAAAAAATTGAAATTTCATCGTTTTAGTAAATTTAGGAAAACTTAGAAAGGTCATAACTTTTTTTCTATTATAGATAGAAAGCTGGAACTTTTACTGAATTTTATCCTTTTCATAGGACTACAATCCCTGAAAATTTCAGCTCATTTGCACTTATAGTTCCGGAGATAAAATCGTGTTAAGCAATTTGAGGTGATTTATCAATTTTTCTGAGTGCCTTTTTTTATTGATTTCGGCTTAAAATCTGAGAATAATGTAGTGTATGGAGTTTGGGGTATGTTGATTGACCATTAGGATACAAATTCTCGACAAAAAAAATTTTGAAAATTCATCGTTTTAGTAAGAAGGTATTACCTACCGTATGATTTAGATTTTGGAAAACTTTGAAAGGTCATAACTTTTTTTCTATTATAGATAGAAAGCTGAAACTTTCACTGAATTTTCTTCCTTTCAAAGGACTACAATCCAGCTAATTTGCACTTATAGTTCCTGAGATAAAATCGTGTTAAGCAATTTGAGGTTACCAACTATTGTATAAATCAATAAATTCTATTCTGTACAAATCTCTGAAAAGTCTATGCACGTTACGACTTGCATGCTCAAATCTCCCAAAACTATGCGTTTCGGCTCAGATTCCCAACGTCCCAAATCCAACTTCGCTTCTAAAATTTTCTCAAATCTGCCATCTACAAGCAATTATTCGTCTGATCTGTTTTTTTTTACATTTCACACATTTTACTTCACAGTAGGAAAACAGTTTCCACCAATAAGTCTACTGTCTGTAGGTACCTTGTATTTTCTGCCAATCTGCATGTGAGTCACAAAGTTGGTTCTCACTTCATTGTGCTTGTCAAGTGGGTTTTTAAATATATTTTTTTGGTTTCTGCACTCACTACACTCTCCACGTGTTAACAACTCTGTTTGTGAGAAACAGAGATTGTATTTTTCTATTTGTATGTTTTTACAGTGTCCCGTCCCCTTGTTATGTATGTATTCGGTATAAAAGGTAACTTTTAATTTAGGGCTTCATCATAGTTTCCATGGATGATCTTGAAGGTTTCAATGAGGTCTCCTCTCTCTATTCTGTCTATCACTATGTCTTCATTTGAATTTATTAGGGATTTTCGTACATCTTCTTTGAGTTCTGTCTAGTAACTACATCTATCTTTGATGTAGTATGGGTTCCATATTGTGAAACACTACTCCAGCTTTAGGCAAATAAAGGACACATAGATTTTTCTTATGAATTCTACAGATTTGTTGCTGGAAACACTCTCAGTTAGGTATATCAAAGTTTTTGTTTTTTTTTTAAATAATTTCAGGCTGTCCGCTATTATTTCTCTTTCAGTTCCGTGACTTCTGAGATCTTGGTATGCTTGATGCTGTATTTAATATGTGGGTTGTTTATTCCAATGTGAAGACTGGTACACTAGTTCGTGTTCAGTTTCATAAACCAGCACTGTGTCCAGGTTTCTAAAGTTCTTATGTCTGACATTAATTTGTCCAGAACCGTCAGTGGGTTGCAATACATCTTCCCATTGTCCGCAAAGGACTAAATTTCAGTTTCCAATTCCATGCTAATATCTGCAATGTAACACGTAAACAAAAGTGGCCCAAGGACTGACCCTTGGACAACTCCACTTTGGTTCTGGTAGCGGGCCATCCACTCTTATGATTTACTTGCGCATGCAAATCGTAAGATACATCAGGTCTGTTCCAATACGTCAAAAAACCGTTCCCTGCTGTGTTGGAACAAAGCTATTGTTGTGTGAAGACCGTACTTAAGCAACACAAAATAAAATACTAATAAAGTACTTCTAGTACTACTGTGGGGATGTAGATGGAAAGTGTAAGTAGAATATGATGACATAGCACAATTTGGAAGTACCTTTCTTGATCAGTTAAGTCAAGAGATGCCATACTCACAGCACGGACCCTGCACACTGATTAGAAAATAAAAAATGCCGGATAATATTAGTGAATTTTTATTATTAATTCGTTATCTTGGGATTCAAAGATATTAATACAATAATCATGAAATAAATTATTTATAGGTCTTTTTCCTGTACTTATAAATAATGTATATCCGATAGGCAAAATCCCAATATACAGTCTTTAATTTTGAATACACTGTATATCAAAAATATTATAAGTAATACCTACACTTAAAATCCATTCACTATTTTTTTTTAGAATGGGTGGCTATGAAAATGTGGGGAGATTATGTTAGCCCTAATATACAAGGTTATGTATGGAAACAGCTATATATTTCAGAACGCGCCCAAGATAAATGTATAGAGCATTTCCTAAATCTCTGTCCTACCAGCCTGTTCTGAAATACAAGAACATATCCATGCATTTCAACAAAAAAACTGTATTGCGTATTTCAGAAACCAAGTCAACCAAGTTTGACATTTAGGGGATTTTCACTCTGAGGAAACGATCTCCTCAAAATCTGAAGATTCTATGATCTGAAGTTTCCTATTAAAAGTGTTCAGACACGCCCAACCTGAACTTTTACTTTTTTTGTTAGCCTCATGTCTTTGTCTCGGTCATCGGTTCTACATTAAAGAACTTTATGAAAACCAACTGACAAACAATATTGCTTCAATATAATATTAGAGTGTTTAAATTTTTGAAAGCAGGAGGAGCATCTTTGGATATGCTGTTTGGTTTTTGTGATAATTATTAATTTTAACATCCTTTCAATATAGCATAGAATATAGTTACCATAACATTTTTGGTCTTCTATTACCGCCTATTCAAAAAAAAAAAACAGTGAACAGAGTATACTCCTTGAAACGACATGAGCGGAAGTATTTATGTAACATTTTTTTAAAAAATATTCTGGTACTGGCCCCAAGGTTTCACCCCAGGCAAATACTGAAACACACAAAAAATCAAACCAAATATGTATACCTCTTAAAATAATCACAAATATTTCCACTCATCTCATCTCAAGACTAACTACTTATAAAGCTAAATAAACAAGTTACGGACTAAAATCGGGATTTTTCTTCAATATCACAAATCCTTCCATTATGGGTGTGAGCGAAAGGTATTCTTCTGTGGCCAGCTCGGCTCTTTCTCCATGAGCTAATAGTACTGGAGTTGTATGAGTCTGGAAACCAGTTATTGTTTTCGGTTTGCCGGCTTGCCCAACCACATCTACAGCCTGAAATTATTTATTAAATAGAGAAAATCATTTAAATAAAAGCCACCTTATGACAGTGTTATAATAAATTTTGAAAAATTGGCATAACTTACCAAACCAACACGAACAGGTACAGGCAATGGGTTGAGATCTTCATCAAAAGTAACCAACATTCTAGGTTGCATGGCCGCTGCTAATGTGTACAGCAAATAGTGTGATTTTCCAAGAATAACTAAAATAAAATTCATTCAGGCAAATTGTTTTTTAAAATCAATTAAAACTTTAGTTCCTATTAAATATATGGCAAACTGAAAATCCATGTTTAACATAATTTCTGAAACACCTTGTTTAAAGTAACTTACTGTTTTTAACATCCAGACAACCAACTAAAGTACCCATTAGGCCAGCAACTGCTACAGGACTCATTAGCTGCCTGTCACTATGATATGGACAAAGAGTCAAAGTTCCTTTTCCTAAATGAGTCAACCCTTGTGCAATCCTAACCATGAAAAGATTATTGGGATCTTTCGCATGGTATTGTGCTAGTTGACGTAGCATAGCGGCCAGTCTTGCATTGTTAGTGCCAGCTCCTACTAAACCCATTGCAAATATAGCATTATGAGCAACTTCTGAGTCACTGTCATGGGAGAATTTACTCAAAGTATCCAGAATACTCAATTTCGGGTTCGAGACAGAAATAAGACCTAAAGCTAAAGGAACGGCTCTTCTTATAGCAGGCTCGCAATATCTTAATAGATGTCCAAAGGTTCTATAAGCCATTTCACTGCCAATATCCTCTCCCATGCTTATAAGGGCAATACCAAGGACAGCAATAGCTTGCCTTGATGAATGGTCTTTTTCCTTATCTTCGGATTTTTCTTTTTTATCCTTATCTTTATCTTTTTTCTCTTGTTCAGATGTATCACTGTCATAGTGCTCAGAACAGATGTGGAGTAATTGTTGAATTTTTAATACATTTCCTGTACCAGCATAGGCACAAATATCCACCATAGTTGTTGCCATAGATCTAGAAACAAATACATATATACAAACTTAATTAAATAGTTTATTAACAAAAAAGCTTGACATTTACCCAAATGGTTCAGGAAGAACTGCCAAAGCAGCAACAATTGCATCAACACTATCTTGTTTCCCCAAATGACATAAGCCAACTCCCAAAGGTATAAATCTAGCATAAGTATCCTTCAAGTCATCTTCAGATCTGTCCATCAATGTCTGCATGAGGATCGTAGTTACTTGGGAATTTTCAGAACCAACTGAAATCATTCCACAAGCCAAAGCAGCCATTCCAATAACTTCCATATTAGAACTTTTATCGGAAAATACTGGGTATAGTAGGCCGAGTACTGCTTCCCTGTTAGAGCCCACATACGCTAATCCCAGACCTAATATTGCACCAATTCTTATGATCGGAGCGCTATGCATAACATAGTCACTTAATAAGGCAAGAGCAGGGTCACATTCATTTCTGACACCACAGTTGACTATACCACATGCTAGAAGTGCTCCAGATTTAATATGATCTTCTGAAGAGTATAAGTACTTGTCAATTGGAGTCAAACCCCCATCAACATCCCATAAAAGTACTAATCCAAGTGAAGCTGTTGCACTCAACATGCCATGATCTTTGTTTTTGTAGAGCCACTTATTACCATCTTCCATGAGAAGTTTGTCTTGGCCAAAAGCAGCATTTACGAAACCATTGACAAAACTAGCAGCAAGATTTTGTTTTGCGGAATCTACTTGACTACCTCCAAAAGAAGGTCTGGTATTTTCCAAATGAGATTTGTAAACATCTTCAGGGGTTTTTGGTTCCATGATATCTAATTCTCTTGCCAAGTTTAAGAAATGATTATTCAAATGACAATTGGCCATTATTTCTGTTAGATCTTCATATTCTGGAGTGGTTTCAGGGACTTCTATGTAGATTTGTTGACGACCTAACATAAAGGCCAGTTGTTTTTGGACAATGCTGAAATTGTACAATTTTTGTCTTGAAATAATAATTGTGTTTTTAAACTTACGTATCTGGACAGGACAAAAATATTTCTTCAATAAGTTTTTGTTCATTCAACTTCATTCCCAAACGTAGAGCTTGAGGATACTGGCCAAACTTTTTAAATAGCATTAGAGCAGTTTGCAAAAGAGTCGTGTTTTCTGGATCAGCAACATACTCCACACAACTGAAATAAAAATATGTTTATACTTCAACTAAACAAAACAAGCAGATCTACCTTGTAAGATATAAGCAAACTCTGGTGTAAATATTTTCATCCACATATCTTTCCAAGAGATCAAGTCTTTCTATTTCCATGAGCAAGTCGCAAGCTTCAGCTTCTGCATTGTGAGCCATATTGTAAGGAACAATTTGTTTGGCCAACTGAATGACTTTTGCTTCCATGTCTTTGTCGTCTTCATCTTTTTCTCCCCATTCAGCAGCAATTTCACCAGAAAGATGCCTAGAAAATGAGTTTGATTTCTAACACATAAAATATGAATATTGAAGGAGAGGAGAAATTGATTGAGCCAATACTTTTTGGACTACATTCTAGAAAAGTCTCACCTGACATATTCATGACCCCATTCTCCAATCTTATCCAAATCTGACAAAAGTCTATATTTCAAACATTCACGCCCGTCTCCCAAAGTCATGGCCAAAACTGAAATAATATCGGCGCACACCCTTTGGACCTCAGGGTTTTTGATTTTATCATAAACTTGCTTCATGGTATCATAATGGGGTCGCATAAACTTCAATGGTTTCGGCACAGACGTCATAGAAGTTGTAGAAGCTTTAATTTTCGTTGAGAGAATATTCAGGGCGGATAGATATAGATTTTCATCATTTTCCTGGAAGAGATGTCAGGAAATTAAAATTTGAAATAATAATTATTGAGAATGATTAAAAATTAATATGATTTAGGCTGTCTGTCTGATATAATATAGAATTGCGAATTGCTTAATGTGATTTTAGTTCTGAAACTATAAGTCCAAATGAGCTGAAGTTTTCAGGGATTGTAGTCCTTTACTGGAATAAGAATCACTGAAAATTTCAGCTTTCTATCAATACTCAATAGAAAAAAAGTTATGTCCTTTTTTTCTAAAATCTAAATCATAAGTATGTACACAGTACTAAAACGATGAAATTAAAAAAAAAAATTGTTGAGATTTTGTGTCTTAATGGTCCTTTGGGACTCCCCAAACTCCATACACTAAGGCACTCAGAAAAACTGAAAAATTGATAAATCACCCCAAATTGCTTAACACGATTTTATTCGAGATTTTATTTCTGGAACCATAAGTCCAAATGACATGAAATTTTCAGGGATTGTAGTCCTCTACTGAAATAAGAATCGCTGAAAATTTCAGCACGATTTTATCTCATGAACTATAAGTGCAAAGGAGCTGAAATTTCCCTTGATAGGGATAAAATTCAGTGAAAGTTTCAGCTTTCTATCTATAATAGAAAAAAAGTTATGACCTTTCAAAGTTTTCCAAAATCTAAATCATAAGGTAGGTCTACCTTCTTACTAAAACGATGAAATTTCAAATTTTTTTTTGTCGCGATTTTGTATCCTAATGGTCAATCAACATACCCCAAACTCCATACACTAAATTATTCTGACATCCGGATTCTATAAAAAAAAGGCACTCAGAAAAATTGATCAATCACCCCAAATTGCTTAACACAATTTTATTTCTGGAACTATAATTCCAAATGAGCTAAAATTTTCAGGGATTGTAGTCCTCTACTGGAATAAGAATCGCTGAAAATTTCAGCTTTCTATTTACAATAGAAAAAAAGTTATGACCTTTGAAACTTTTCCAAAATCTAAATCATAAGGTAGAACTGAGGGTAAAACTTTTATCACCGTGCATCTCAAAAGTAAAGACGTTTGAGGACATTATGTTCATAATATGAAGTTTTCTTCTTAAAATGGACTCAAAAATCGCCCGTTTTAATATTTACATTCAATTAAAAAACACCCTATGGAAAATAATACATAATATAGTCCCCAAAAGGTAAGACAACCAAATAGAAGTTTATAACAAAATAATAAGTGACCAACTGGAAATTCCTAACTCTCTAAACAATTTTTTTGGGCAGAAGATAGAGGGCTATCTCTGAGAACATAGATAAGTCTATACCACTGGAAAGGTTCAGAGATAAATACCCAGGAAATATATCGCCACTAAAGGAGTTGAAATTGATAGACTATGATCAATTTAAAAAATGTATCTTTGAAATGGCCAGTAAAGATAGCCCAGATGGGCTAAGTACCTCTTTGTTAAAGAACTATTCGGAAAATGTAAAGGAGCCACTACTGCACATAATTAATTCATGTATTTTAGAGTGCAAAGTACTAATATAACTAAAAATTTCAACAATTGTCCCTATTCCACAAACGTTCAATGCACAGATGGCAGCAGAATTTGGACTTGTTAACATGCTCAGCTCTGTAACAACAAAACTTTTTGAGAAAGTCTTGAATGAGCAACTTGTAGACCATTTAGAGGAGAATAGTATTTTATTTACCTCAATATCAGTCAGGGTTTAGAGCAAGATATAACTGCAAGTCTGCTCTGGTAACAGGAATCAAGCAGTGTGTGCTGTTTTTCTAGATTTGCAGAGGGCTTTCGAGACAGTGGATAGAAGGAAGCTGCTTTTAAAGCTGAAAAAGATAAGTAGGCGCTGACTATTGAGGATGGGGCACTGGAATTGCTTCAAAGCAATCTAACTGGGAGAAGGCAGAAAGTCAGGGTTAATCAGGTTGAATGAGAACCAATAGAGACCAAAATAGGTGTTCAACAAGGAAGTGTTTCATCGTCATTGATGTTTCTGGTTTATATAAAAGACATTGTTGAAGTTGTTGAAGGAATTGAGATCAATTTATTTGCTGATGATGTGGAAAGCATGAGAAATGTGATTACTTAATGGAAACTTAGATAGCGTACATAGTTGCTGTTGTGCAAACTCCTTGAAAATAAATATTCAAAAAAAAAAAAATGTATGATACTGGGATCAGACAGGTATTATGAGGAGTTTGTAAGCAAGTGCATTGAAATAAAAATTGACAACAATAAGCTAGAAATTATAGAAAAGTTTACTTAAATATCTAGGGGCCTTAATTGATAAAAACTTAAAATTTAAATATCATGGTGATTAAGTATGTTATAAAAACTATTTCTTTCAAACTCTTGTTCTTGTATAGATGTGCCTTTTCATTGACTCGGTGGTCAAAAATTTTACTGTTCAATTCATTGAGGTTACCACATGAGGGGTGTGACACTCCTGAAATAAGGGGTACACTTTGCCCAAACATAAATCAATAGAAATCACTGAAATCTGTAAAATCAAGCAAAATCACATTAAGTCCCTTAAAATCATTGAAATCTTGAAAAATCTCCTAAAATCATTCGAAATCAATGCAAATCAAGTCTATCCGAAAAATCAATCAAAATGAAGAAAATCTTTGTAAATCACTTAAAATCATCACTAATCACATACATTTTGTTGAAATTCTGAAGTCGTTGTTTTCTAAGGCAGTGCCTCCACCAATAAAATATTCAAAATTCGCGCCTTTTTTGTTTTGTTGTTTAATTTTGGCCCAATTATTAAAATGTGCCTATGTGCGCCTATACATACACCAAATTACTTGTAATTACAAGGTTTCTCGGTAACCAGCAGAGATAAAACTTCGTGGTTTTCGCGACCCAGTTTATCGTGAACACCCTGTAAGATAGAAAGAAGGTAAAAACTGCTATAGATAGATATTTTTACGTAAAATCCAGAATAATTTTCAAGATAACCCCAAACTTACTATTTTTTAAATGAAACACCCTGTATTTTTTGGTCACAAAAAAATCGCCTTTTTTTCTTTGAAATGATGCATCACACTTTGCACTGTGACTCAAACCAACCCTTAAAACCGCAATAATAAAAGAAAAACTCAAGTTGGCCATGGAATTATAGGTATTAAAGTGTCCACAAGCAAAATTGAATAGAATTATCAATTTTTTAAATATTTAACCCTTTTTTACTCTGAACTTGATAAACTTAATAATCTTGATGAACTTAGTGACGCAATATTAACTATTGACTACAACACTGGATTCTACATAAAAATATCTATCTATAAGAGTTTTCACCTTTTTTCTATCTTACAGGGTTTCCGAAATATGATACCACTCCAAAACGCGCAAAATTTCTATTTCACCCTGTATCTCGGGAACGAAACAAGGTGGCACAATTCTGTTTGCGGTATTCAAACTTTCACGAAAAATTGATACAGGTTGGCGAAAACCGTAAAGTTCTACTCTGCTGGTTACTGAGAAACCGTGTGATTACAAGCAATTTGGGACACAGTGTACATACATGGGGTGCTGTTTCCCCCTTGAAGATTGTGGAATTTGGCAGTCGGTGACCTCAGTGTATGTACACATTTTGGGTCAGCTATTCACCAATTTGCCTAACGCCTATACTACCCAAGATCGAAATTACTCACAGCACAGCATGGTGTAATTTCTGTGAAATGGTAGTGTTGGCACAGTAAAACTTCTCGACTTTATTATGATGCCACTAACTTGATATAGCGCTACTAATGGTATGAGTCATTACCAATAATTTCGATCTCGACATATAGTAAACAGTACTGAAATCATGAAATCTGTGCGAATCTAGTAAAATCACATTCATTTACTCTTGGAAATCAATGTAAATCTGGGAAATCAATGAAATTAACAAAATCAAGTGAAATCAGCAAAATCAAGTAAAATCAAATATTTATCCCAGGAAATCGTTGAAATCAAGTGAAATCATGAAACTTTACCAAATCTTATTTTTGATTTTATTGATTTCCATTAAAGTAATGAAAATCAAAAATCAGAGGTCTATAAAGCTAGCAGTCCCAAGGTGGAAAAAAACTTTGGGAACTATATAATAATTAGGTGCTTTTTAGGTGCTAATTAGGGCCTGTAATTAAAAATTAGGTGCTCCGCTAGTTTTTAAGAAAACAAAAAAAAAAAAACTCAGGGACTGCTAGGTTTATGAAAGCTAGAAGTCCCCTATGGTAAAAAATATTTTTTCAAAATTACGTTTTGCATCAGAATTAGGCGCTTTTTAGGTGCTCCCAAATAGTCCAAGAAAAAATAGAATTGATTAATTATTAACTGAGTTACAGATTATTTTTTTTTTAATTATTAGGGGACTGCTGGCTTTACGTTTACATGTTGGTGTGTCACAGTAGAAAAAAACTTTGGGATCTATATAATAATTAGGTGCTTTTTAGGTGCTAATTAAGGTCTGTAATTAAAAATTAGGTGCTCATCTAGTTTTTCAGAAAATCAAAAAAAAACTAACGGATTGCTATTATAGGTTTATGAAAACTAGTAAAATCGGAAGTTTTTTACCATTCTGACACATCACCAAGTAAATGTAAAGCCAGCAGTAGCCTAATAATGAAAAAAAATCTGTAACTCAGTTAATAATCAATCGATTTAATTTTTTCTTCGACTATTTAGGAGCACCTAAAAAGCACCTAACTTTGATACAAAAGATAAATTTGAAAAAATATTTTTTACTATAGGGGGTTGCTAAACCTTTCATAAACCTAGCAATCCCTTAGTTTTTTTTTGATTTTCTCGAAAACTAGAGGAGCACCTAATTTTTAATTAGAGGCCCTAATTAGCACCTAAAAACCACTTAATTATTATATGGATCCCGAAGTTTTTTTTCCATTCTGACACACCAACATGTAAACGTAAAGCCAGCAGTCCCCTAATAATTTAAAAAAAAAATCTGTAACTCAGTTAATAATTAATCAATTCTATTTTTTCTTGGACTATTTGGGAGCACCTAAAAAGCATCTAATTCTGATACAAAGAAAAAAATTGAACAAATAATTTTTACTGTAGGGGACTGCTAGCTTTTATAAACCTAGCAGTCCCTTTGTTTTTTTTTTGATTTTCTCAAAAACTAAAGGAGCACCTAATTTTTAATTAGAGGCCCTAATTAGCACCTAAAAAGCACCTAATTATTATATAGTTCCCGAAGTTTTTTTCCACCTTGGGACTGCTAGGTTTATAGACCTAAAAATCAGGTGTACAAAATACTTGGTCACACCCCTGGTTACCACATTATACTACTGTTCCACAGTTTTGTTTTTGCTCCAGAAAAATGAATCTGAAAGATTGCAGAAGCTACAAAATAAGGCAGTGCGGATGATACTATCTTGTCAGAAAAGAATACCTATTCGTAGTAATGAACAGTGCATTGAAATGGTTCTCAGTAAAGGACCTTATTTTGTACTGTACAACACAGTGGTGTTTATTTTCATTAAAGTGGGACTGCTGCCATCATATTTAAACAAAAATATAAACTAGATTTCGCAGAGGCATGATAAAAATAAGAGATCAAGGGATAATTTTGATATCCCCAGGGTTCAGTCAGTATTGTCTCTCGTTTTTAATCTGATACTTTCCGTATGAGGAGCGAGGGGGTGAAGCTTATGGCAAAAACAGGTGTGACGTCAGGTGAGCATTGGCGTTCTAACGTAGAGAGCCACCGACACATTCCTTTGGAGTATCAGATTAAAATCGACAGACAATACAAGCAGAAAAATCATTATTTATTAGGGGATTATTGAATTTAACCAACCGACTGATATCAAAGGCTGTGAACAAATTAATACTTTTATAAGAAAACTTAGACAATATATTAGAGACAAGACAGATTAAATTACAGTGTATACTTTCAGTTTCATTTATTTGAGTTGTTTTAGAAGGTGCTGGGAACATTTTTGTTTGTATTGCCAGTATTACTTTGGTATTTAATTATTCGTGTTTAAAATTGATGTGCAATGTTAATTGATTGTTTTTCTGTGTTTTTTAAAGGAATGGAATGGATAATGTTTAGATGACTTATATGCAACTCCAAGCTGTAAATTAGTTATAGTATTATAGCTGAATAAACGATTATGATAACAATAATAAGATACATGAATAATAACTATTGCTTGCTTATGAAGCAACAACTAGAGATTTATAAGAACCAGTAGAAAATATAACTTTTATGCAGGTTGCGTACAAAATAGGTGGCAGACACAACATCAGTGGTGGCTCGTCAGGGGAGACAGTGCCTCCCCTGTAATAGTTATTTATGCAACAAGTGTGTAAAGTGAACCTTTTTCCACGAATGTGAATTTTGACGCACGAGCCGAAGGCGAGTCCGACAATCACATAAGTGAAGAAATGTGGTTTAGGCACGTATTGCATACAAAAAAATTTCTACTACCAATCAAATACCTATGTGTAAAAAAATAAATTTAGACAAATACTGCACAACGTGTATTTTTTTTAAATGGAACATCCTGTATCTTTTAATATAATCGAATACTCTTTTCCTGAGTTCTTAAAACTGTAAAGCAATTTCAAAATATTATTATTTGAACCTAGAGAGTGACGAACTCGATCGTGACATGCAAGTTTTAACTTTTAGGTTAACTCACCGTCAATCTTTCCACACAAAGATTTAGCTCATCCTGAAGTTGCTTGTCTTCTTCAGACTGAAAATAAAGTAAAAATTCAATATTTTCATTCAATTCAATTGGCAAAAAAGGGTTTCGACTTACCAATTCGTTTTTATCTTCTTCAGCCTCCTTCTTTGCTTTCACTTCGGTGGGTTTTTCAGCTGTGGTTTGAGACATTTTGTACTAATTACACTTATGAAACAAAATCAAGGAGACTTGTATTTGCTTCTAGCTTCTAGTTCTAGTATATTAAACACAAAGTAAAGAGAACTTTTAGGTTTTAATTTATTTATAACCCTAAAAAAATCTTCTCTGTTGTTTTTGTTTGCTTGTCAGAAATATGCTTCATTTGACATTGACAATTAGGCGTTTGCATAGACGAGTTCGGTTTATCCGGGTTTATCCGCTAGCTACACGATGACGTGACGTTGCCAGAAGCTCATGTGATCTTTCGTTTAAAACTTCAAAACTTATCACGTGGGCCCGACATCTTTTCGCTCTCTCAGAAATATCCGAACTCGACCAGTGACTCGACCACATAAAAAAGAGAGTCTTCTTTTTTTCAAATCTCCAATCCACTCACATCTCATCTGTTATCTGTCAAAAGTAAATTGCCACACACTAAACAAGTTTTCTAAAATTTATTCTTTACTTTAAAAAGTAAAAACTCCATTCAACTCAAACTTTCCTTTTACCTTTTAGATCAAATAAAGCCAACAACAAAAAATAAGTTTCCAACTAGAAAATTAAGGTAAACTTTCAAATTCCCTTTAAAAATGGGTTAGAAATAGCTGTCAGAACCAGAACACAATTTATTAATTCAAAGAAAGATTGTGTCACTCAAAACCTCAGTGAAAATGCCTCAAACAAAAGCCCCCTCACTTTTACCCCCTATATTATACTAGCCAAACCATGTTTCAGATCAGCCGACAGCAAAAACCTACATAAGCATGTCGTATCACGGATACCGTGGCGTTAGGGGCAGGAACAGGCCCTCCGCCCCTAGGAATCACCAGGAAAGCAATTCCAGCTTCGAAGAATCTGTATCGCCACCGAAGGCAAATTACTCAAAAATTTCCGTTAATCAAAGAAACATATCTAAACATGACAATAATTGTTGCAGAGATATTAGCATAGGACTTATTATGAACTCCATCGATTTGGATTTTTTTAAAGATTTAAAACAAATTTACCAACTCTGTAAGTTGATTTTTATATTTTTACCTTAGAATAGTTTTGAGCCTTCAAAATCAGCTTTTTTATGTGGGTCCAAAAATGCTAGACCTACTCCTTCGTATACAAATTTTTTTTTTTTTTGAAAACTTTTATTTCATAAAATATATATAAGTTACAATAACAATAACATTCCTAAGCAGTGTGTTAAACACTGGTATCGGAATCATTAACAAATTTTGTGCTCGCTCACCAGCTAGTTATGAATATTTTAGTACACTAGTACAGAGTAGTTTTAGTACAAAGTAGTTTATGGACATATTTGTAGGTATTGTTTAAGCTTACTTAAAAATGAATTACAATTTGTAATATTCCTAATAGCCAACGGCAAACAGTTATATTGACTTATAGCTCTACTTTAATGGGTTATTCAGACCAATATTACTCCTAACAACCTCCTGATATACGTTATCCTGCAAATTAAAGCCAGAATACTAAAATTGAGAACTGGTCAGTTATGTGAAATTGAATTTATTTTTATTTATTTTTCGTAGCTGGGGTAGCACATTGTCTGTTGGAGTCTTCCCAAAATATTGGAAACTAACTTTTATACCTATGTATGTCTGATTTTTAAAAATTCTGGCAACAAGGAGGGTCATTGAGAATTACCGCCCTATAACAGCATATTGTCTCATTTTCCAAAGATATTTGAGTAATGATTTTTTAACGGAAAAATTTAAAAATATAATCATTTCAGAACAGCATGGCTTTACTATTGGCCGAACTGTAACAACAAATTTGTTAGTGAATGAATGAGCCAGATTGGGGGCCTTGGGCCAGGTTGTAGATTCTATTGATACTGACTTTTCCAAGGCCTTAAATAGGGTAGGTCATACACTGTTAATATGCTCAACACCATAATGAGCACAGGAGAGTTCGCTGTTACTTGGAAGAAAGCCGCAGTATCACCAATATACCAGAAAGGAAACAAACAGCAACCATGAACCATTTACCTTAATTTTGAAAAAGCTTTTGACAAGATACGAACAGAGTTTTTGCTCTATAAAATGGAACATGTTGGAGTTAGGGGCTGGTGATTAGAAGATTTTCAAACCCTTTGAAACTGAGACACTTTATGAAGTTGAATTCTACTTCAAGAATATTCTATTCGCAGAATCAAGATTTGAACTTCACCATTCTACAGTTGTAGCTCAAGTTACTTTACCTGGAAAGGCATGAAAATTTTATTCTCGGCACTCGTATAAAACCAATAATTTTTGCTCGAATTTTTGACCAATTTAGAGTTGAAACTTAACAAAAAAGATGAAACTTTCACTGAATTTTATCCCAATCAAGGGACTACGATCCCTAAAAATTTCAGCTCATTTGCACCTATAGTTCCTGAGATAAAATTGTGTTAAGCAATTTGGGGTGATTTATCACTTTTTCAATTTTTCTGAGTGTCTTTTTTCATAGATTTCGGCTTCAAATCGGAGAATAATTTAGTGTATGGAGTTTGGGGGATGTTGATTGACCATTAGGATACAAAATCTCGACAAAACAAAATTTGAAATTTCATCGTTTTAGTAAGAAGGTACTACCTTATGATTTAGATTTTGGAAAACTTTGAAAGGTCATAACTTTTTTTCTATTATAGATAGAAAGCTGAAACTTTTACTGAATTTTATCCCAATCAAAGGACTACAATCCCTGAAAATTTCAGCTCATTTGCACTTATAGTCCCTGAGATAAAATTGTGTTAAGCAATTTGGGGTGATTTATCACTTTTTCAATTTTTCTGAGTGTCTTTTTTCATAGATTTCGGCTTCAAATCGGAGAATAATTTAGTGTATGGAGTTTGGGGGATGTTGATTGACCATTTTAGGATACAAAATCTCGACAAAACAAAATTTGAAATTTCATCGTTTTAGTAAGAAGGTACCTACCTTATGATATAGTTCCTGAGATAAAATTGTGTTAAGCAATTTGGGGTGATTTATCACTTTTTCAATTTTTCCGAGTGCCTTTTTTCATATATTTCGGCTTCAAATCAGAGAATAATTTATTGTATGGAGTTTGGGGAATGTTGATGGACCATTAGGATACAAAATATCGACAAAAAAATTTTTTAAATTTCATCGTTTTAGTAAGAAGGTACCTACCTTATGATTTAGATTTTGGAAAACTTTGAAAGGTCATAACTTTTTTTCTATTATAGATAGAAAGCTGAAACTTTCACTGAATTTTATCCCAATCAAAGGACTACAATCCCTGAAAATTTCAGCTCATTTGCACTTATAGTTCCTGAGATAAAATAGTGTTAAGCAATTTGAGGTGATTTATCAATTTTTCAATTTTTTTGAGTGCCTTTTTTCATAGATTTCGGCTTCAAATCAGAGAATAATTTAGTGTATGGAGTTTGGGGGATGTTGATTGACCATTAGGATACAAAATATCGACAAAAAAAAAATAATTTCAGCTCATTTGCACTTATAGTTCCTGAGATAAAATCGTGTTAAGCAATTTGGGGTGATTTATCACTTTATCAATTTTTCTGAGTGCGTTTTTCCATAGATTTCGGCTCCAAATCGGAGAATAATTTAGTGTATGGAGTTTGGGGGATGTTGATTGACCATTAGGATAGGTACAAAATCTTGACAAAAAAAAATTTGAAATTTCATCGTTTCAGTAAGAAGTTACCTACCCTACCTTATGATTTAGATTTTGGAAAACTTTGAAAGGTCATAACTTTTTTTCTATTATAGATAGAAAGCTGAAACTTTCACTGAATTTTATCCCAATCAAGGGACTACAATCCCTGAAAATTTCAGCTCATTTGCACTTATAGTTCCTGAGATAAAATAGTGTTAAGCAATTTCAGGTGATTTATCAATTTTTCAATTTTTTTGAGTGCCTTTTTTCATAGATTTCGGCTTCAAATCTGAGAATAATTTAGTGTATAGAGTTTGTGCTGCATTAATTTTAATGAATAGTTTGTTTTTATTTCTATTTTTTTTTTCAGTAAAGAGAAGCCCCCCTGTGGTATCAAAACTAGAAAACTACCTGAACAACTGTATAAACCCCTACGAACAGATCCTAAGACTTTTATATAACTGCCAAGACTTTTACAGTGTGAAAAATAAATCCTTGCCAATGTTTCTTATAGAAGAGTTCAAGACGTGGTCGAAAACCAACAGAAACAAAATTCTATGTCTATTGACGAAGGATTTAAAAATCGACGCCTTTAAAATTATAACGAAACAAAATGTGCAGTCTTTAACGAGGCTCGTTGTTGAAATATTCGAAATGGCTCAAGATGGTGATATTTTTTTAGATACTATTCAGTGTTTAACTGAGAAAAAACAGTACAAAGAAGTAAGAACTAATATTTAATCAATTACCAATAAAACTTGAAAAATTTCAGGCTTGCCAATATGCAGCTATGTTAAGTCTTCATAATAAATTTTCCATCGAAGAATTTCTAATTCCCTTAATTCTCCAGGACAAACTTTACATTGTCGACGAATTTTTGCAAGGCAGCAAAAGGCACCAAATTGAATTGGTGGAATTTTTAGACTCGATTTTAAGCAATACATCTGTCAGAGATGCATTGATCAAATACATTCAGTACGTTGTATATCTTGTTTTGAGAAAAAGTTGTCAAAGTGGATATGTTTTAGAGAAAACAATATCCCAGACGTTAAATATGATAAAATTCATGGAAAGCCTTGGAAAAAATTAATTGCGAGACTACAAAAAATGTTTAAACTATCTAATGAGCTTACGCCAAACCTTAATAAAAGAAGAAATGAAGGGGCTTTGCAATTTTTGTTGCATAAACGATATGTTGAGAATAGCTTTGGTATGTCAAAAAATTTAAAACTCTTGTGTATCTATACTAATAATGCAATAATTTAGGTGACGAAAGTTGGAAAGAAATGGTTCAAGAAGCAATAGGCGATGATAAAAATCTTCAAAAAGAACTCGTAGTGGGTGTATCGCACTTTGGAGAATTTTCCGAAGCACTTCGATGGGCCCACTTTTACAATGTAGACAAAAAAGACTGGCCTTATAATGTGAGAATGTTGGAAGCGAATAGGTTACCGCATCCAGAACCTACTTTACTACCTCCAGTTGACGATTGGGATGAAACCGATTCCAAGCTAGAATACCATCGATACCCACTTCCAAATGAAACAGTAAATTTAGTAGATACTGCATTGAAGTTTGAAGATTTTTTAGATAAAGCCTTACAGGTTAATAATCAAAGAATATAGGTACACTTTTATAAAACTTATTTGTAGGATATTGACATTGTCGGTATAGATTGTGAATGGAAGCCCAGTTTCGGTGGACAACCCAGTGAGTTGGCTTTAATGCAAATAGCAACAAGAAACGGAGTTTTCGTAATTGACATTGTCTCTCTGGCCAACCATTCTCCGCACTTATGGCAGGAACTGGGCAAATTTCTCTTCAACAATTGTGATATTTTAAAGTTAGGATTCAATCTTTCGAGCGATTTTCATATGATACGGCAAGCTTTGCCACATCTGAACTTTAGTTCGAACCAAGCAGGATTTTTGGATTTGTGTACTTTGTTGAAACACATGGAGAAGTATCCACAAGTCAAGTTTCCATTTGAAGGTATGAGATCAGCAAATTTATTATTTTTCAACATAAAGACTATCTTTTTGATTTGAATTTGTCTTTTAGTAATTTTCAGCCTAATGGCACACACTTTGAAATTTTATATGAAAATTAAAATATCATTTATTTTAGTAAAAATTGGTGGTCCAAGTCTCAGTACATTAGTACACCAATGCCTAGGCCACCCTCTAGATAAATCCGACCAATTTTCCAACTGGGAAAAAAGACCTTTACGACAATCACAAATTTATTATGCTGCCCTTGATGCGTATTGTCTCATAGAGGTATAAACAAGCCTTAACAACAAAAAAATATAAGAACTCAATTATTTGCTTTCAGGCATATGATGTCCTAAAGAGATGTTTTGAACAAGCAAATTGCAATTTTGACGATTTATGTTACACTTTGATTCAGCACGATGCCAAGTACGAAGCGAAAAAGAAATCTAAAAATCATAGAAAACACAAATCTGAAGAAGAAGTGCCGCAACCACCAAGCCCACATTCTGAACCTGTTCAAGTAAGGGTTTTTGTATTGTGTTGGGCAAAATAATTATTATTTGTCTTATTCAAGGCTCATGAACTGAAAATAGTATGTGACACAATGCTTCAAGGGTTAGGAAAGAATCTCAGAAGGTGCGGAATTGATACTGCCATACTGGAAAATGCAGAGGGCCATGAAGTATGTGTGAAGTATGCTGTAGTTGAGCAACGATATGTTTTGACACGGAAAAGCGCATTTAAAATGGTATTTTTTTTTGCATTGGTCATTCGATATTCTCAATTTTTTGTTATTATTTCAGATTTACCCTTACGTACCAACAGGCCATTGCTTAAGAATTTTATCAGACAATGTTGATGAGCAATTGCAAGAAGTACTTGATTACTATAAAGTAACAGTGACAAAAAATCACGTTTTCAGTAGGTGCATGGTAAGCTAACATACTCCTGTAATAATTATTACTAATCAATAATAATTAGGTTTGTAATGGAAACAATTTCGCAAAAGTACCACAAGAATCCATGCTGGCTTTATACAGCAAAAACACAAGATATGCTGTCTGTCCTGATGATTATTACGATGACGAAGCTTCTGGTATTACTAGTGAGGAGGATTTAGATGATTGTGAAGCATCATTTTCGCAAGGTCCTAGTTATAAGCAATTATCTGAACCGTCTAGTAATAGAAAATGGGAATTATGTGAGTAAATAGAAAACTAAGCAAGATTGCATGGTAACGGTTGGGATAGGATATTTATAAGTGATCTTTGCTTTTCAGGTTCTGATGTGAAGATAGACATTGGTCTTTGTCAAACTAGGCTAGGAATAAAAATAAAAATCGACGCTGTTCCTATATCAGTGATCCGCAACTATGACTTTTTTTACATATGTGAAGAATGTGGCAAGATCTACTATGACGGAACCCACTTTGAAAAAGTACTTAGCGGAAGGCTACAGGGAATTGTGCAGTAACAATATTAACCTTTTTTAATTGTATTTCTGGGTTTCATTTTAGGATTAAGACTAAGGTTATAGTTTTTTTTTTATATGATAATGATTAATTGCTGTTGATGTTTTTTTTTTTTAATGTAATACTTCTTGGCAAAAAAAAATGCGGTTTTATTTTATAATCATAGTTTTATACATGACTCGAGCTACAATCAAAAAATAGTTAACAAAGTCTATGGCTAATATCACCCACGTGTGCATTTTTCACTCTAAAACGTTACAATATCTTTAATTTTAATTTTTTGGCATGCTCTATCACCTGCATTCCTGTCATTTTGTTTCAAGTGTTTCATTGGCTACAATAGAATATTCTTTCAAAAGTGCACACAATATTTCAGCAAAGTTTATAAATTTGTCATGCATGCTTTTGTTCGGTTATTGAAATAACCACAGCCCTTTAAATGAGGTAAAGAGCAGAAGTATGAATGAAGTGACTTTGCTGAAATATCATAAATAATTCGTGTCCGGTTTATAAAACCTTGAATACACACATTAAAAACAGATAAAATGTCAAAAACCTTATTTAAATGATAAAACAAAAAATAAAATTTTAAAAACAAAACACAAATAATAACTAGAATTTGAAAACCGAAATGTTGAAAAACAATTACTTCAGTGAGAAATACAAATAAAATTATAGTCTGCAGTTTAGCGTAGAAGCTGAAGCCGCCTGTAAAATAAAATAATAACAATTAAAAAAAAAGGCCACAGGAGTGACATAAACTACATGCCAATTTTTTCCATAATCCTCATTACAAATAAATATAACAATTTTCTATATACAAAAAAATTCTAGATCTTAAATTCCAATCAATATACACTTTAATCACTAAAGGCGCGTTATCATGAGGCGTTTTCAGTAGCTCAAGATAAATGAAATTTAGCTCTTGTGTCTTAGCCAAAATCGTCTTGAGTTAACACGCCTTAACTACTACATTCAAAAAAAAAGTAATGACTAGAAAAACTTCTACAATTCAATTTTAATTGAAAAACCCAACTGAATTTATTGTCCAAATACATTCTACATTTTCCTTACGTCAATAGTAATGATATCAACATTTACAATAATCGATTGGACATTTTTGATTTTATGCAAAAGTTTCTAGTTGCACAAAAATCTTCTGGACGTACCTTTTTCAATCACGTAATAGCATTAAATCTATAACAAATAGAAAACCCAATAGTTTTGAGCTACCACAAAATTTGAGCATAACGGTGTGCAAATATCTACCTTCAAAATATTCACAAATATAGTAGATAAGATTCATAATAATAATAAATGAGAACTATGATTGTGTTTTACATAATTTAGTGTTATAACGCTAATTTATATGATGTCCTGGCCTTTAGGACAGAATTTTCTATGCTTAATATTTAGTAAAATTTTATAATAATGTTTGGATTTGAAGCTTTAGGATGTTCTCTGTGATATTTGGCCACACAAATGGTGATATTTCTATGAAAAGGTCTTTTAAGCGCTAACTTGAATCTAGTTTTTGGATCTCTTCGAGTATGGAAAGATTTCGAAGGAAAGATAAATTTAAGGATGATACATAATACCATGGCATATATCTATATGCATTTTTGGTATGACCAATTTGAAAGTGCCTAATATGGAGTCGGCTCCAGTCAAAATTGATTACCCATAAGACTGATTTTCATAAAACTTTGGAAATAAGAGTTTCAGCCAATGTATAGCAAATATCTCCCAACCATTTGTCCAGATAAAATAAAGAGAAAAGAATATTCATTATTTTTTCTGTATATTTTGGGTCCCATATAATGACTGATCTATCATGTCCCGTGTCATTCAACAATGTCCAGGAAATAAAGAATCCTTTTGCTTTCTCTAATAGTGTGAATAAATTACCTAAAATACCAACAGCTGTGATAGCCTACTGATAAACTTGAATGTTAATTTGTTACTTGCACTTCATACAACATAATATTAGGTCTGTTCCAACAAGCCAAAAAGCCTCCCATAAACGGTTTTGAAACCACTCTGTATACAAATTTCGGATTCTAAACACCAATTTTGGGCTTTGCATAGAATCCTAAAAGTACCTACATTGTACGGTTTCCTGCTGTGTTGGAACAAAGCTATTATAACTATTATAAAAAAAGACATCTTCTTGATTTTTGGAGAACATCCTTAAGCCACCAAATAAACCAATCCTTCAGCTAAGTTAAGCCTCTTCAGGTTCTAAGAGATGTTGAGCCTCAATATAATTTTGAAATGTTTGAGGAAACCTTTTATTAAGCGCTTCCGTAGTAGTAATGTTCTGTTGCCTTTTAATTACAATAAGAGTGAACATAACCGCTAAACTTACTAAGAAAAAAGCTAGAAGGACACCACCTACTGCAAAAACAAATAAAACGCTATTAATCACCAACTAAACTAAACTATTAGCTTACCTGAAATCATTACAACAGTACCGATACTGTATTTGCCAGTAGTTTCCTGTAAAATTTGCTGTACTGGTAACATTGTGCCGTTGTTATCTGTAGGTGGTATATCAAGAATGGCACAAAATACATTGAAAAGATCTACGGTTTGGAAAGGTTCCACTTTGGTTTGCTGTTTGATTTTCGGCCCTATTGCCATAAAGTAAGGGTGCATCTCGGGTTCCATGTAGTCGTAACCGTGTACGCCAAACTCAGAAGAATTAGTCACTAGAATTTTTTTTTTTGTATATTGGTAAAAAATTACTATGAAACTTACAAGTAAAATTATATTTTTCAGCATATTTAGGGGCGTCCCTGATAAGATCGTCAAATGCATAACCGATATCTGCGACAACTAGAATGGGTGCTGCACGCCTGTTGTTTTTAAGGTGCCACCTTTCAAGATATTCGGATTTGTTGTAAACTTTAAAATGCCCATTTTCTTTTGCGGCTGCCGTTAACGAATTGTAAATTGTGTCGTGAAAACCTAGAAAAACATTGTAAAGAATACAACTATACTCTGTTTCCTTTTTTCTTAGTAGTACATGGAAAGGCAAAAAAGGGTCGAATACAATAAAGCAATCATAGACCCAAGTAACTATAGGTTGGGTTATTAGGTATCTGATAGCAATTGAGTATGAATTTTGGACTTATAAGTAGTGAATGCATATACAGGGTGCCCGGAATAACCTGAAGTAGGTAACCATTGAAGATACAGAGGGTGGATCAAAGTTGCGCAACCAAATGCCTACAAATAATCTGTCATCAACCCTTTTTTTGTGTGTTTGAATTCACAATGAGGTTCTGTGCTCCTAACCAAAAGGAGTATAATAATTTTACCTTCGTTTGGTATAATTTGAATTACTGGACTAACTCCAGCCCATATATAAGTTCCATTAGTAATATATTGAGTTATATTTAGAAAACGTGGTGGTGTTACTGCAGTCATACCATGGTCACTTACAAATATTACGTTTACATTTTCGCTCAACCCATGGGAGTTAATTTGTTGCTAAAAGTTTACTCATAGAAAAAAATTGATAAATACAATACAATCAATCCTCACGTTTAAATATCCAGTAATATTGTCCAGCTTGTGAATCAAATCCTTAACTACAGGTGAATTTGGTCCAAATGCGTGCCCATGAGTGTCAGGCTCTTCAAAATACAGCATGACAAGATTTGCTGGTTTATTAGGATCAGTTATCCATGTTATAACGTGATCTACTCTCTCGTGCCAATCGTATCCACTTTCAAATGGCAATCTCCAAGTGACATTTTTATTTTGATAGGAAAATATTGCACCTGGCCACATAACTGTTGCTGAATATCTCTCGTCCCCCATATCTTCGTTTAACCTCTGGAAATACCTTATTAGATTTAATGACATATTTAAGTCTAAAGCACCCTTACCCATATTGGTTTCACATCAACATTGTAATTGTACATCTCAGGTCCAATTTTTATAACTTTTTTATAAAGGGGATCGTAGAAACTATTGCCTACAACCCCGTGAGATTCTGCATACAAACCCGTAGAGATTGTATGGTGATTCGTAAATGTTTTAGTCGGAAATACATTGACTAAAAAGTCTGCATATACCCCTTTATGCCTTATAAGTTCCATGTAGGGTAATTGTTCGGTATCAAAAAAATTGTATCTAAATGCATCGAAACTTACTACGATTAAAATTGGGTGTTTGGATATAGAAAGCACTGAGGGTATTAGTGTGAAAAATGTCCAAAGCCAAGAGGGTTTTAGGGTTTGATTTTCAAATAACATCACTGTATTGTAAGAATTTTTGTGTATTTTGATTTTGTGTAGGAAAAAAAAATTATTTTGGCTCACGGGTTGTTGAGGACGAGAGGCAGAACTGCCAACTGCTAACCCATAAATCAGCTGATAAGAAACAGCAATGATAACAGCTCTGTTCCAACCGACATGAGAAACGTTCCAGAACCAGTAATTTCCAGTTGCCCACCTATTTTTTAATAAGTTGACCGCTTGTCCTACTTGACAAATCAGTTGATCGACTGGAAATTACCGTTCTAGAACGGTTCTCATGTCGGAATAGAGCTAAAATTTTTACAATCCGCTTACCGGTGTGAACGTAGCTTTAGCTGACAAATAATCCATAGGCGGAGGTTGTCATTGTTATCAATGTGATATGAATTAAATAAATTAAAAACAGTTATAGGCCGTTGTTCTATAATTCTATTGGTCGGCGGATAACTGGCCGACCAATGGGATTACAGATTGCGTTTTCATCCGTCAGATTGCATACCTGTGAGCAGAGCTGTCACCAAGTACATTACTTAAGTACTTGGAGGTTTTGTAGAAGTAATTTGAAGTACAAAGTACATATTTATCTCAAATGTACTACAACTACGAAGTACTTAATAAAAGCACTTGAATTTTTTAGTCAACTTAACTTGAAGTACAATTGAAGTATTCCAAGTAGGTACTTGTACTTCAAATACATCCTGGCGTACTTTATCATAAATATAAAACAAAAACATAAAACATGACAATATTTTCATTTATCATTTTTCTTGGAACCTTTGACTAAAATTGAGCAACAACGCAACAGGCAGCCTCTAATGTCTGTATCACTTGAAATATTAAAAAATATGAAGTACTTCAAGTACACTTTTGAAGTACCCGGTAATTGTCTATATTTTGCACCCACACCTATCTCACCTGTTAGAAAGATGTGAAAAGTTATAGGTGAAGTCTGTCTTTTCAAACTGACACTTTCCGTATGAGGTGTGAGGGGGTGTATCATATGGCAAAAACAGGTGTGGTGTCAGGTAACCATTGGCATTCTGATGTAAAGGAGCCACCAGCTCCACATTCCTTTGGAGTATCAGATTAAAATCGTTAGACTTTAGGTGATATCAGAAGCTTTGTAATGAAGTTAGTCAAAGTATACGGGGTGTCACAAAAGTGTGGCGAAGTAAGGTTATACTTTTTAAATGGATCACCCCGTATATTATTGACCCATTGGATGAGCGCCTTTCAAACCTGATTCCAAATATAGGTGCTAGGTTTATTCCTAATAGTCCTAAGTCCGGGAGACATTAAGAAAAGAAGGGATGGAATAATTGCATTTTTTTTGAAAAAGGTGAAGTATCGAGACCGCCAGCAAAATATAAAGGTAATCATTCAAGTAAAAAATCCATATTATTTTTTCAAAAATGGCCAAAATGGGTTATTCAGAGGATGGACTATGAAGAATAAACCTCAAAAACCTATTATATTTGGAATCTGAAAGGTTAATCCAATAGTTCAATAATATACGCGATGTTCCATTTGAAAAAGTATAACTTTGCTTCGCCACACTTTTGTGACACACCTTGTATACTTGTAACTTACTTCATTGCAAAGTTACCTATAAAGTCTGTATTTTTTTATATGTAGGTATACTTTCATTGTATACTTGAAGTACTTGTATAGTACTTGGTGTACTTCTTATTTACTGCAAGTACTTCTATGTGCTTGAAGTACTTTTCAATGTACTTTAAGTTCTTGTACTTGATGAAATCAGGTACAGGTACATTGTTGAAAATAGTTCAAGTACCAAGTATAAGTACCGCGTTTATCCACTGTACTGTACATCAAGTAAAGTACCTGATCTGCCTCCTGCCTGAGAGTTTATCAGCAGGTGGATAAACCGGCATTTATAACTAAATTTGCAACCTCCGCCCATGGTCGGTCGGTAATTTTTGGTACTCCGATAGCTAAAGCTAAGTTCACACCGCTAAACTGCTTTGAAATGTTGCAACTCAGTGTAGCCAACTATAAAAAAAATCACTAAAAAAGTAAGGTTAGGTTAAAGTGTTTTGGTGTGAGTTAAGATTTTAAGAAATCAGAAATAATGATGAATCTATCTAGAAATATTGAAAGAGTACCCTTTAGGTCCATCGAAAAACAACTTGTAGCTTCATATTGCAATTCCAGCCCTCAAACACAAACCAAACAAGGTAAAACCCTATTTTACAGTCTATAAACAGCACTTTTCAATATTCACTCAATTTCCAGAAGAATTTCGTGCCCTCAATATCAGAAATGTTAAAGATCCGTTTCAAACAAGGCGCAGATTGCAAAAAACAGCAGTTTTTCCTCCCAGGTACATCACTTGATAATAATATGTCCGTTTTCGATTTGCAACTTATCCTATTCCTACTGCAAAGTTAAATTATTACTATAAATTCATTCTATAATTACATATTATTCTGTAACAACAAATCCTAAAATATGTTTTTTTTAATAGAGCTGATCAAATGCCAGTAGACCAAGACTGGGGTAGTGTATGGCCAGGTCCTAGATCCTTCCATCCTGCAACTGTACCGTTGCCTGTCAGGCAAGGCTTCACTGAAAAAGGCGCTCCGCCGCCAAACAAATTCAACAATGCCGAGTTGATGAAAATACCGAATTTCTTGCATCTAACGCCGCCCGTAATCAAAAGGCAATGTGAAGCTTTGAAGAAATTTTGCACTCCTTGGCCTAAAGCTTTAGACAATGAGGACAAAATACAGAAAAATTTTCCTATTGAAGTTATTTCTAGTGATTACTGTTATAGCAGTCCTACAATTAGAGATCCAATGGCCAGGATTATTACTGTGAAGTTTAAGTTGGCTTCTTTGAAGCTGGATGATAGAGCTAGAGATAAGTTTTTGAGGTAAGTTGATTGAATTTTCACCTATATGTATAAATTAAATTGTTTTTTTTAGATTGGTTGGGCCTAGATACAATGAGGAAAATGATACAGTCACTATAGTCACCGATAGATGCCCCTTGAAAAAGCAAAATTATGACTATGCAATGTATTTGGTAACTGCTTTGTTTCACGAGTCAAAGGTAAGTTAATTTTTCTATTTGTAGTTTATTATTACATATGTAACTATTATTGCAGAAAGTTGAGCCTTGGGAAGAAATGAAATCCGAAGCAGACATGGAGATTTACTGTTGGGAAAATAATGCTTCAAAAAAAAATATTGAAGCACTTTTTGGATGTAAATCTGAAGAAATTCCAAATGCCGCAGAGTATTCTGAAGCTGTTTCACATTACATGAATGAAGGTAATGTATTCTTGAATGGTTTAATTGAATAAATAAACAATAGTTTTCTTTAATTTATAGGTGAAAATGACTACACGATTTCAAAATATGGAGAGGCAGTTAAAAAATTGCTAAAATTACAAGGAACGAATTAAAATTTCAAATAAAAACTGTTGAATAGATTTTGATTTTTATTACAATACAAGTGAATGCTAATTTTCATTTCGCCACCTACTGTCTATAGAGTTCAATAATCAAGTCACAACCAGTTTTAGAAGTGGAAACTTCTCTATTCGCATTTTTTCTGGGTAGTATATGAGATTTCACAAGCACAGCCTGAATCGCGAACAGCCCATCGAGGTCTGCGGGTGACGTCACCTCACCACTATGAGCTGCTGATAGTGGTGACGTCATTTCCCGCACACTTGCTGTACAGTACTTTACACTTTACCGCATACCTGCTTTGAAAACTACTGATTTCAGCATCAAAAAGTGTGCATTTTCCCATGCACTGCACTAGGTTCGAACCACTCCGATTGCGGTTCGGTTCAAACGACTCCGCGTGAAGTTTTTTTGTCGATAATTCGATCCGCCATTGCCCAGCTGAGTAGGAAACTGTAATGGGTTTATCTTTTATCTATCTCAACTAAAGGATAATCAGCTTAAAACTATTACAAATTACGACTGATTTCAATAATATCCATTATTAGCATTAAAGTGTTTTTACTTTTATACATTTCCCAGATATTTGAAACCAAGAAGAAACAAATTTGGAGCATTGAACTTTCTTTTTGTTGGGCGGGGTGGGGATGAAAAGGAAATTTCAGAAAATGGCCGCCACGATGTCTTGGGAAAGTGTATTGTTCCTGTCAAAGTAATGAAAATTTTCCAAATTTAGTGCTTAAAAATGGAAGAAACGAAAGTAATTTACCATATTGACGACGAAGAGACTCCCTATTTAGTGAAAATACCCATATCGCCCGATAAAGTGACTTTAGCGGACTTTAAAAATGTTCTCAATAGGCCCAATTTTAAGTTTTTCTTCAAGTCGATGGACGATGATTTTGGGTAAATATCTACTTGTTTTCTAGGGAATACTCGAAAATATAAGCTTTTTATGCTTATTGTTAATGGTTCTTAGTTCTAGAATAGGGCTAAATTGCATGAAACACCAACATAATGTTCTTTGAAAATATGTCATTATGTGGGCAGATGTAAACATATCCTTTGACAGCAGAATAAAAAAAGACTTTCGTGAAGAAATTGATTATTTATCTTATATTATGGCATCAAATTTTCGAACTACCTACCCACACTATCAATAATTTATTTATAATAATACCTAATATGAAATTTTTTGGAATAATTTTACCAAAATTTGATTGCACTGCATGCTCGCTGGACCATTAAAAGTCCACCCACAACTGGGAAATATTGAAGAACGAGAACTTTATCTTGTTAATCATTTGTATAATATTTGTTTTAAGTAAATTTTTGATAAGGGAGTTTTTGCCCATTTCATAACAATTTTGGATACAAATAAAATTATTAAGTACCTGGTTGTTAAAAGATCCAATTGAATTGATAGGTAAGCTGTAATGAACAAAACATAAAAGAATACTACAGAATCCAACAATAACAATGAAGTTTTCCTTTAAACAGTAAAAGATCACTAATAAGAAAGAAATAATAAATACTTACTCCTACAACCAACACCACCAGATGACAGTCTTGAGAACAACACAAGCGAGGGGTTAGTCACAACATATTTATGTGTACAAGAGAAATCTTTATGCGAAAGATATCCACAGATTTCCTCCTGTAGTCTTCTCCTCAACACAACATGCACATTTTCCCTTGATGTATTACTTTCCTGACAATATCAAAGCTCTATTTCTTACAATATGAGGTATAATATTTTTATTTCAGTGGAAAACCTGGTAACATGATGTTCTTTTGAATATTCTCCATCAATAGAAAATTACACTCAGAAATCTCCTAGATTTCCCCTGAATCTCCACCAGGCTTGGCTTACACAAAAACCCATTTTGTATTCATAGAAAAATAATTATCAACTGCTAATCTAAGATTAAGTGCCTCAATTTGGAATTTTTTTAATTAACATTCCTGCCTTAAACCGGTCCCACACGATGTGGCGAATGCCTTCCAACGTTGGACACATCGTCATTTGACACACCGTGTGGGCATGCACTTGGGAATTGCATGTGTCCAACGTTGGCCACATGACATCTTCGGGCTCATGTCGGTAAAATTTACCCGCGTCAAAGGAACTTCCAACTTTGGAACTATCGTTCGTCACACGCCTACACGAAGCGATCATGTGTTTGTCGCATTTAGTACAGAATCAATCGAGGAATCAGTGTAGCACCAAAGATTTTATTCTATTTTTTGGTTTGTTTTGCTATACCTATATTTTTCTCATTGTAGATTGTAGATTAATAATGGAGTGGAATAATGAACTTATTCTTGAATTCATTCAACTGTATAAGAGACATCCTATTTTATGGAATCCCAAACATCAGGGATACAAGAATAGTATGATAGTTGACTCAAAAACTCTATGTTTGTCATCAGAGCTGTATTTGAGCTCTAAATTTAACAAAATCAAAATAGTTGTAAATAAGATGAGATAAGATAGAACCTAAAACTTTTTCTTGAAAATTTCATTTCTAGACTCTCTAAAATCTAATCCATTTAAAATACACATAACTTTGCTTTGAATCTCAGATATCTGGAAATACATGGGGAAATACATATGAGCAAATCCCAGAATTTGAAAATAAATTCAAAGAAAACTAGTCAGGATTAATAGCAATAAATAAATAGAGAATTTTACAGGGTAAAAACAAAAAGCCAAATTATTAAAGTAATTTTCCTATTCCGGGCTCTACAATTTGTTTTGAATGTTCATAATTTATTAGTTTCAAATAAACAATAATTGGAATGAAAAATGACAGTAGTTGGTAAAGAGAAAAAAACCACTCCACTACACCAACATTCTTGCTCTGGATCTGAAAAATTCAAAACTTGGCTTCAAGATTTATAAGCCAATAAAGCTTCTTCTCAAATCTGTTCTTGGATCTGAGGCTCAGAAAAAATATGAGCAAATCATTGAATCGGATAGTTAAAGTGCTCAAAAACTCTATATTTGTCATTTGAGCTGTATTCAACCATTTTTTTTCCAACTTTTATTTAAGAAGACTACAATTTATAGTCTCAAACGCTCTTCGAAAATCTAAAAAGACAACCCCAACCGCATTCTTCACACTCAGCGCGTTCTTCCATCTGGAGATGACAGTCTGTAGAGCACTTTCACAAGAATATTTTTTTCTGAAACCAGCTTGAAATTCAGTAAGCAATTTGTTGTCCTCAATATACTTCCTCATTTGTTTATTTACAACTGTTTCCAAAAGCTTCTCATGTTAGCACTATGTTGATAAGTCGATATTCCTCGCATTTTTCTGTGTTTCTCACTTTTTCGATTGGAACTATAGTTGACAGTTTTTAATCTTTGGGAAAACAACCTGTTGCCAAACTGGAGTTGATAAGCTGGAGAAACCGATTGCCAATTGACTCAAATACTGCCTTCAGTATCTTGACGCTGATACCATCCACACTACTTTTTTTATTTTTCAAGTTATTAACTATATTTTTCAATTCCCTCATTTCCAGCAAATTGAACTGCTCAAATTTATTTACAGGTGTTACAATGTTATCTAATATCACACTTGTCACTCTTTGCGCTGTATTTGTGGACAGGACTCGAATACTATCTAAGAAATAATTGTTGAATTTTTCTGCAATTTCTGTATTCTCCCTTTCTATACGATTCTTGAATATAACTCCTCTATTTTTAGCAGTTTTGGCTCCACTTATAAGATTTTTTAACGTTCTCCACATCTCTTTTTCATCGTGTTTAACTTCATCAATTTGATCATGGTAATATCTGCAGGTCTATGTACCTTGTTTCTTTGTTGTTTCTAAGATTTCCAGTCTTCAGTTTGATGTGTAATTATGGCTTTTTTGTATAATATGTCCGAGAATATGTCTCTTTGTGATACTTGTTCTTTAATTTTTGGTGACCACCATTTTTTGTTTCCATATTTATCGTATATCCTTTTCTCAACTAAAGGCGCGTGTTGATTGAGGTTATCAGATATTGTCTGAACAAGGTGATTGGTATGTCATTCGTGAATTGCAGGGAATCTGGCCATATGCTATCCTTGAGATCTAGTTGGAACCGAAGTTGGTTAAAGTTATATATATCTCTGATAAGAACTGTTTCAGTGACTGTTTCGATATGAGGGAAATCAATGGTTATTATCGAATGATCTGCTACTTTTGGCATGTGATGTACCGTGTGGTCGTTCAACTGTCTTATTATTTGTTATAATAAGGTCTATTATTGTGGAGCTATTCTGAGTAACTCTTGTGAAATTTTGAACCATTTGATACATTCCATGACTTGAAACTAATGTTTTTAGTTTGTCTGAATAAAATGTGTTCCTTGCAACGTTTATATTGAAGTCTCCTACCAATAGAAATGTATCAGGTTTGGTTGCATATTCTTCAATTATTTTATCCAGTTTATCAAGAAACTCGTGGCTGGAACTAGACGAATGGTAAGCATTAGGAATATTGTATTTTTGACCTTTGATATTCAAATTTACTTCGATTAGCCACATATTTTTTTCCAAAATTTCATTTATCACTATATTATACTGGAGTTCTTCCATAATGTATGTAGAAGCACCTCCTTTGTGTCGACTTGATGAAAATGCATGCACTTCTTTATATCTGTCAATAATTGTTTCCACCTCTTCCAACTCTTCTGTGATATGAGTTTCAACTAAGCAGATGACCGTAGGTTACCTCAGCAGCTGTTGACACTGCAATTGCTATTTGTTTACCTTGCAGAATGTTTCAGGGTAACTGATTCTCATTTGCAATTGTTCATAGACTGTCTTGTATGCGGGACAGTTTCTATTGAATGCAGAGTGATGAAAGTCTATATTCGGTATATTCAAAACTTCTTTCGCATTCAGGCAGTTGTTACAAACCTCCGCCTCGCTTGTGCATTCTTCTTTTTTGTGATTTTCGCTGCATTTTGGGCATATTATTTCCTGAGACCTACATTTATGAGCCATATGACCAAATTTCCAACATTTATAACACTGTATGATATTTACGTGCTCATAATGACACATTCTCCATCCAATATGCAAAACCTCCTTTCTATTTATCTCTTCAAAGGTTTCCCCATCCACCTTCAGTATAGCCACCTCTCCTCTTTTCTTATCTTCATAGGTACTTGAAAGCTTCACTGTTCTGTTTCCACCAATATTTGAAATTCCATTTTGTATCATTAAACTCTCTATCAAAACTTCAGGGTCTTGTATCAGCTTTTTTTCTATATTTGTAATTTTCAACTTTGGATTTCTCTTTTTTGGTACATCAACTACATATTGCCCCTCTAGTTTCTTTTCGATATCTTCCAAAATATTTTTTATATCGTCTTTCTTTAAACAAGATATAGCAACTCCACCCTCTCGAACAAACTTCACTCTTGACACTTCTGCACCTATTGTCCTAGGGTCTATTTGTTCTTCAATTATTTTTTCCGTAGTCGAACTGTTTTGTTTCTTATCTTTAGGTTTTATGTCAATTACTTTCTCGGGTTTCTTCTTCTTTGCAAATTCGCTGTATTTTGGGATTGAATCAGATGCTTGTGATTCGGCAAATTTCGGGCAATCAGATAAATGTTGTTTAATATCTTCCATAAGTGCAACCATAGATGGAATCTTTCTTAATACCGTTTTGCAATTCTCATACGAAAATATCATCAGCCTCTTTTGTAAAGGCATGCACCACGCTTCCAAGCTTGACAGATTAAAACATGCTTGATGTATTCTTTGATTGCAGACGTCGCACTGATAATAATCTTCACCGTTCACCCTTTGGCATTTCAGATAGCTGTTCTCATTTCCATCCATTTTAGACGATGAAAATATAAGCAAATCACAAAATCTGAAAATAACTTTAAAGAAAATTATAGTTAGGATTAATAACAATAATCTCGGACTACTCACACTTTTCTTATCTTAATATATTAAACAAAATAAAAATCCTAAGGAAAAATAGTCAAATAATATTAATCAAAGAATTATTCTTAGATGTAGAAGTAAAAATCAAAAGGAACTTTCACTGAGATAATTACCTACTATTAGTAACATAACTTAAAAAAGAATTTGTGTTATTGAACTAACAAATAAATTATATACAATATGGTCAAGTTGAGTAAACTCAAAATGCTACAAAAACCCAATAGAAATTTTCAAAAATCTGGGTTTTTGCCAACCCTGATCTCCCTAAAGCTCCCACGATTTCCCTGAAGAGTTTTGGATATTTCCTGCAAAGTGTACACAGGATATTCCATTAAGAATGACCCCTAGAGCATAAGTTTTGTAGAAGGTTTTGGTTGGAAAAGTTCAGAACAAATTTTTACGGCTCTGTGCATATCAGACTGGGGTTCGTGTGATCAATCACAATTATGAAGGCATGAGAAAGAACCTGAAACTTGACTCCCATCTTCCTGTGAGACAAGTAAGACCTCGAGTAGAACATAAATATATATTTTTACAGAACAGAATTTGGTTTGAAATCCCTTTTAAGTAGAAGTCTTTCAGTGATAAATCAGAAGAATTTTTAAGTTACTGGGATAACTAAAAGCAGGTTTATGAAGTTATGTGATAGTTCTTCCTTTAAGATTTTATGCTTAAATTAGGTATTTAAATTTTAGTAGAAGAGCTAATTGCCTTATTGTGTCTCCAAAAGCTATTACATAAAATTGGAATTCTCTGTAATACATATTGAGTAAGCAGTAACTCCAATATTCTATGAAAGTAATTATTTAATCATCTTTCTTGCATACATCACTCGATACATCATTAAAGCATGTAATTACCAGCAAAATTACATTTTGTTAGTGCTTCTAGCTAAACTTGAAATGTTAAAGCTGAAATTGTGAAAACAATTTAATTATTATGACTACTTAACAAAATTAAGTGGCATTTAAGTGACCTCCTAACATGTGTCTGCAAAAAATGGTAAAATTAGTAGTAAGCAGGTCATGGTATTAGTAGCGCTTTTATTTCAGAACTTGCCACCCACGCTATCTGCGTAAAGTCGTAATAAAACAGATTTGTGAAAATCGCCAAAACACAACTTTATTTTATGTAAAACCCCTTCAATAAATTTGTTGACGTTTCGGCGATTTTCACAGATTTATCTCTTTATGCAGATAACATGGATGGAAGTTTTGAAGTTAAAGCCCTGCATAACAAAGTAAATTCCAATTAATTTTAAATTGTTATTATTGTACTAATATTTCTATTGAGGTGTGTTCAGAATTATTGCTTCCTTCAATGGTCACCTACAAAATAATGTTTCACTGACTACAAGCACCTTATTCTATAACTGAAATTATGTATTAAAGCACGCCTAAAAGTCAAAAACTAGGAACGCCCTAAACTAAAAATTTGAAAACCACAGAATAGGAGGAATCAAAAATTCACAATAATCTCATAGATATGGATACAAACATGAAATTAGCATATCAGTAGTAGGTAGTAGGAAGTTACTCAAAAATCAAATATTGGTTTCTTGCAAAGAAATTCTAATGGTCAACTTGGCACAAATTTTAAATTTCATTGCTAACTATGATTAGCAATAATTTCCAGAATCTAGTCTTGGCCTGAAATCAATCAATCATTAAGACAACACCTTATACTTATACTTATATTTATACATATTTATTTTTAGTGTGGTCAAAGAAGAAATTATAGAAGATACTGCACATCTTCCATGCTTTAACGGCAGAGTTGTCAGTTGGGTAAGAAATAATCTCTTCAAACAAATTTTTTTTTAAAAACTATTGACAATTTTTTTTTTAAGTTGGTATCTGCCGATGGCTCAAACCAGTCCGATGGAGGCTCACAATGCACCGATAGCGTTTCACACCCGGTCGAACCAAGATTGCCACCACAAGCTCCAGAATCTGTTTGTACCGATACCGAATCTATTATCAGCTCGAGACAGGGTAGAAGACATCACAAGTACTCGTCTAGAATCAATGGGCACCTTCCAAGGTAATTTTTATATATTTTTTTAAGCTGGGTGTAACATTTGGCTGTTTATTACAGAGTATATGAGACTGCTTCGATAGTGAGTTCTGACATAGAAACTACAAGTTTCCAATCTGAGACAACTGGTAGACACACAGCGCTTTCAGAATGTTCCAGTGTTAGTAGACTTCATGTAGCTGGCCGGAAACGACCTCAAAGACGACGAAAACAACGACTTCAGGTATATATTCATATGTAGCAATTTTGTGTTTTATAATTATATTATTTCAGGCTATGTCCAGGACAAGTTCATATTCTAGCATAACTGATTCTACAATGTCATTGAACATTATAACTGTTACACTAAATATGGATACTGTAAATTTTTTGGGCATATCGATTGTGGGGCAAAGCAATAAGGGTGGAGATGGTGGCATTTATGTGGGTTCCATTATGAAAGGGTAAGGGATTTTTAGATATGTATGTATCCACTATTATTTTATGATTGTTTTTTTTAGTGGCGCTGTGGCTCTTGATGGTAGAATAGAACCTGGAGATATGATATTACAAGTGAATGATGTCAACTTTGAAAATATGTCAAACGACGAGGCTGTTAAAGTGTTGAGAGAGGTGGTCCAAAAACCAGGGTAATAAGTTCAGCCTAAGTACAAAGAGATTTAATTTATAATAATTTACTCTTGTTTAGACCAATTAAATTGGTGGTAGCTAAATGTTGGGATCCAAACCCCAAGGGATACTTTACGATACCCAGAACAGAACCTGTTAGACCAATCGATCCTGGTATGTCATTTGATTTTTTTTTGCTAAGGTGAAATAGTGTGAATTAAGTTTTGATATCTGTATTGAATTTGGGAATATTCATAGTTTGACAACGAACTTGGTCACTGCTCTATATTTGAGTATGCAACTATCAATAATTTTTGGCACCTTTATTTATTTATGTACTCTTTTAAAACACTTGAGCCTTGTTTTGCAGGCAAACAAAGTCTTGATTTTTCTGGTGACATTTGTAGGTGCGTGGGTAGCTCATACTGCAGCAGTAAGAGGCGATCCAGTCGCTCGACCACCCAGCAGTTCAACAGTTTCGAGCACCTCAATCGCAAGCACAATTCCAGCAAACGAACGTGAGTGTTTGCTAGGTCCTGGTAGGTATTTTGCACCACGCTGCTTTGGTTTAGCACAATGTATTTTCAATTGACACAATAATTTAGTTGCTTCGCTAATCGCTTCGCTTTTACCTCATATTGTTGACTATCATTTAACAAATGCTTGTTGAAAATTCACAGATATGGCTGAACCTTTGACTATCAACTCTCCAATGTCGGAAATAGTGCAGGCGATGCAACGACCCGACAGCGGATTGGAAATTCGAGATCGTATGTGGCTGAAAATTACAATTCCCAACGCCTTCATTGGGACGGACATGATTGACTGGTTGTTGGCGCACATCGAAGGGTTCCAGGAGCGTCGCGACGCCAGGAAATATGCTTCAAATTTGTTGAAGGCGGGCTTTATCAGGCATACTGTCAACAAGATTACTTTTTCCGAGCAGGTAAATATTTGTTGATGTAATAATTACAATATTTTTTGACATTTTTTTTTAGTGTTACTACATTTTCGGTGACCTTTGCTCCGCCATGAGCAATTTAAAACTGCAAGGTGACACGGACAGCGTGGGTCCCTTGCCTAACGTGCCCAACTATATGCCGTACAGCGGCACCTATAATCCCTTGGAGTACATGCCGATGCCCTTTTACAGTGAAAACACTGTTTACGGCTACAATAAGGAGGAGAGCGTGCTCAGCGGAAGCGGTAAGTTTGATGTTTTCAATGATCTTTTTGTGTATATTATTTATTGGTATTTGGGTGACAATGGAACAAGTCGACAATTTATTAATAGTTGTAATGGAATAAATATTACACATTATTTTTTATCCTTGATGCGCCTTCTTGATTTTTCTTATAGGATTATTGAAGTTCTTCTCATAATGTCCTCATTCCAAATTTTTTTGATTCTCTTTGAAGTTTTCGAATTTCTACTGATGGCCTAATTTTATGTAAACTAATAAATGCATCATTTTAGACAGACTTCTCTCCTAAATTTTTGGATCAAACTTTCACATCTTAGAATATCAGCCTTTGAAGCAGACAGTAAAAAGGTGTAATAGATTCAAAGTCATTCAATATATACAGGGTGTATATTTTAAGTGATACCACTATTGCTATATCCGAAACGGTAAGAGCTACAAGGTCAGTTAAATTAGAAAAAAGTTGCCTTTTTTGATGCCCATTCAAGACTTGTTTACAGTGTTGCAAAATTCCTTTTAGTTTATGAACTACAGGTTCATAAACTAGGGCCGAATTGAAGTAAAATTTTGGTAAAAATCATTGATGATCACTTTTTAGATCAGAAACGTCGACCAATCATACTTGAGAGGTATATCGTTAAAAAGGGAATAAAGGGTGCTTTCTAAAAATGACAGAAAAAATCCAGGTCCGTATTTAACAAAATGAAGTTATTGATGGTAGCTCAATCACGAAACGTTATATTCAAAATTTGAAGATGCCATGTTGTAGAGCGAAAAAAATTATAAAACTTTCAAATTTAAATTGTTTCCCGAAAATTCATAGTTTTCGAAATAATTGATGAAATATGATAGGGCGTTTCTTAGAAATCACCCTTAATTTCATAAACCAAAAGGAGTTTGGCAACACTGTACACGAGTCTTGAATGAACATTAAAAAAGGCAACTTTTTTCTAATTTAACCGGCCTTGTAGCTTTTACCGTTTCAGATATAGCAATAGTGGTATCACTTAAAATATACACCCGTATACAGGGTGATTTACGTAGCCCGTGCATTAGCTTGCAGGTGGATTATATGCTATTTCTACTAATTCACCTGCAATCTGGACAATTTCTAATGCACGGGCTACGTAAATCACAGTGTATATATTTCGTTTTGGAACGTCTAATTTCCATCCTCTCCTATCGTCGCAATCCTCTGGAGAGATTTCTTTCACTCATGGATTTGTCTTCTGCCATTCCGGTTTTGGTCTTCCTCGTTTTCTTCTATCTGTTGGTTGTCAATGCAGCATTTTTCTGGGCCACCTGGTATTTGACATTCGTTCTATGTGTCCGTACCAGGTTAGTTGTATCCTTTCAATGTACTGAACTATTGTGCCTTCTATTCCCATTTGTTGTTTGATAGTGTCGTTCCTTATTCTCCCTCTTCGTGTGATTCGCATGGATCTTCTAATAGCATCCATTTCAACTGCACTTTTTTCTTTTGTCTGTCTGTAATTCTCCAAGTCTCGGCTCCATATTATAGAAGCCTGCTCTTTATTATTGTCTCGTATATATTGAATTTTCTCTTCTTTGTTATTTCCTTGCTCCATAAGATGCCCTTTAGGCTTCCTATAATTTTTTTAGCTTTAACTTTCGCTTTTCTATTTCTTCCACATCTGTTCCGGTGTTATCGAATGTGATATTCTTGACATTGCAGAATTTCCTGATCATCATCAACTTTCAAGTTTCTGTTCTGGGTGCCTACACATAGATATTTTGTTCTCAGGGCCCATTCTTGGTATTCTTCTTTCTAATCATATATTGCATGTCCTCTTTGTCACTGGCCACTATGACCTGATCATCTGCAAACTGAAGAGTAAACAGGCACCTATCATTTTTCTCTATACTCATTCCATGGGTCTTCCTCTTCCAATTTTTCATTATTTTCGGTGCCACTTCCTTTTTTCTTGATTTCGGTTAGTGCTACTATTATAAATCGATGTACAACTTCTGAATATCTGATGCAATAATATTCGTTTTCAGTCTAATACCCTGTACATTCCACATAGCGAAATTCATGGTCCATTTTCTTTGCCGTGTTCGTCGTCTTGGTAATCCGTCCACTGTTTGTTTAGGTTTTTTGGTAGTATCGTCATTTAATTAATCTCTTTATTCAAAAGTAGTACAGGATCTTTTTAAAAATGACCTGCTATGTTTAATTTAAGAACAGTAGAACCCCAATTATCCAAGTCGGAATTATCCGAGCTCTGGATTAACCGAGCCAATCTAAAGACCCAAAGATCCTGATTATCCAAGGTGAGGGCGTTTATACTCCGTATTAACCAAGTTTCTAAATTATACATATACATAATGTATGTGGAAATTTAGGGTTGATTTTCTTCTCTTTTCCATCCACACGCGTTTCGGTCTATCAGATCTTATCAGTGTGGCCAGTCTTAGACCAAAATTCGCTCTTCGTAATTCATAATATACATACATATACCTAATATATATATTTCCATTTAAAATCATCAAGGCCGACGATGAATCCTCTTGGTTCGTGTGAGTGGTTCTCCTATTTATGTTTTTGGATTCTTCTCACTCTTTTAGCATGTAAATTCACGTAAATCTGAATTATCTGAAGAGGGTGCCTCCCCTACGTTACCTCGATAACCGGGGTTTTACTGTATAATAAAATGACGGCTTGAGCAAAACTTTGTCACCCAACTTACTCAGCATGTAATCAGTGTTTTGTATAGAAACACATTCTGTAAATAGCCTAAAGATTTTCTTGTATAAATATAGAAATAGAATATTATTTTTTTACATAGAAACTTATGGAATCGGTAAGATAGAATATTTATTATCTGAGCGATGTTTAAAATTGTTGCCAAACTAAATTTTACAATTTTTATAAAAATTTTGCGCCGAGACCCTCACTAAAAATCCATTTGTGTGGAGTGTAAAGCGTTCTGTTAGTTAAGTGCCAGAAAAATCAGCGACACTTAAAAAAAGTCCTCACTTAAGTAGAAAATTAGGTATGTAGCACAAAGTACAAACCGAATATCAGAATAGGTAACTCTATTTGTTTCAGATGTTCTTCTAATACAATCCTCTTAATCCGGCGTGTATAAAGCGAGGAAATCTCGACCGAGCCAAGAAAGCTATTATTGTACCTTTTAAGAGTGAAGATTTTTTTTTTTACTAATAATTTATTTTGTTAATAAGCTGGTGCCAAGTTCCTAGAGATTCGTTTAGAGTTAGTTCGCGTACATTCAAAACAAGCACCAAATAATCTACTTTACAATAAAGTGAATAAATTTAAAAATAAAGTGTTCTGATTGGTTGATATCAGAGCTCAGAACTGATATATGTCACTTAATCCTACTGCTGAAGTAATTTCAATTTTTTACATATTGTTATAATTTCCATAGCTTTATTGTATTGATTTCGACTGGACCTATCATAGGTACTTTGATTTATTTTTTTGATGAAAAATCTTTAAAGTTTGATTTTTTTTTTGTTCACTATTTTTATTTATGTTTCTCTATTGTGCCAATTATCTTTTAATTTGTTGTTGTTGTTGATGTGAAGCATGCATATTCTTTATTACACTCAAACCCAGTGAACGACTGTGTATTTTATTTTATTTTGTTATGTTTATTTTGCACCAGTTTATTTATTTCTAATACTCACTAACTTTTCCTATTATTTTTATTATTATTTGTTTATGTAATAATTACTGCCGAATTTTAGTTTTAAGTTTCAGTTGGTTAATTTTTGGAAGTAAGTTACTTATTTTATTTTGGAAGCACTCAAAACCTGTCTTTAAGGCCCGGTTTAGTCATCTTCAAATAAACTTGCTGGTAACTATCTGTAGAATGAATTCACCATTCTTCAATTCTATTGGTCGGCGGATAACTAGCCGATCAATAAGATTACAAATTGCGTTTATATCCGTCAGATTGCATACCTGACAGTAAATCAGAAGGTGAATAAACCGGTCCTTAGTATTATTTGTTTTGCATTACTTACCAAAATTTAACCAATAATATATAATTCAAGACTTACTTTTGTGCCATTTTTTTTATAATATTTGCTGTTCTGCTTTAGGATTTCTATTTAGTTTTCCTACCAACGTATTTTTGCATGTCCTATTTTTTAAGTTTTGTTTGTATTGTAAATAAAATAATTATTTTATTATTTGTTTTTTTGTTTGCTTGTATGTAGTACAGGGTGGGCCAGTTTGAACACTTTTAATAGGAAACGTCAATTTCTAAGCGAGATACAAAAAAATGGACCCCCCCCTCTGAGGCTCAAATTTCATAAAATCTTGATTGGTGCGCATTTTGATATCTTCAACCGTTTAGCCGCTAGAGGGCGATTCTCGATTTTAAGTACTGTGAAACCTTCATAACTTTTTTATTTATGAAAATAATTGATTTCCGTAAAAACTTTCTGGAAGCACTTTTTAAAGCAGAATTCAGTGACTTTCTTAGTGTTTTTCTATTTGGCTCCGATTTCGAGATATTGACCAAAGTACGATTTTTTTCAATAGGACACCCTAATTATCAATAGCTCATTGAAGGGTTCTGGTTGTGCTGATTTCAATACAAAGTTCGATAGGTTTATCTCTAACAGTCTTCGAGAAAAAAATTGTTTCGGTTTTTGAACAATGTGTTAGAAAAGGATTTTATATCTGTAAGGAGAATGAACAAGGTCTCTTTCTAACACATTGTTCCTTATTACAAAAACAGATTTTTTTTCTGGAAAACTGTAAGAGATAAACCTATCAAACTTTACATTATTCAAATCAGCAAAAGCAGAGCTTTCTGATGAGCTATTAATATAAAGGGGTTCCTATTGCAAAAAATCATATTTTGGTCAATATCTCGAAATCGGGACCAAATAGAAAAAAACTGAGAACGTTAGTGAATTCTGCTTTAAAAAGTGCTTCCAGAAAGTTTTTACGAAAACGAATTATTTTCATAACCAAAAAAGTTATGAAGGTTTAACAGTATTGCTCAAAATCGAGAATCGCCCTCTAGCGGCTAAACGATTGAAGATATCAAAATGCGGTTTGCACCAATCAAGATTTCATGAAATTTGAACTTCATAGTGAGGGGTTCTTTTTTTTGTATCTTGCTTAGAAATTGACGTTTCCTATTAAAAGTGTCCAATGTACAGGGTGTTTCCTTATATTTTGACCACTACCTACAGCTTCAGCTATACGAGGTGGAAAAAAACTTTAAATATGAAAGTTGTAGGGTTTTATGTCTATTATCTTTTGCAAATGTCATAATGGGCAAATGACAGGTGCCAGCTGTCACAATGACAAACACTTGCATTTTTCAAATGGAACACCCTGTATATTTTTGGCTAGAATGATAGATTTTTTTCTTCTGATTCCAAATATAGTGTATATGTTGATATTTGGTTCAGCTGTTTTTATGCTATTCAAGTTTAAAAATGCATTTACATTACCCTTAATTTAATCTGTCGTGGTTTCTTATATCTATGATGAGGCTTGCTCAATGCAATTTTAAAATTAAATAGCGCGAAAACAACTGAACCAAATATCAATATATATGGTATATTTGAAATCGGAAGAAAAAAAGCTATCATTCTAGCCAAAAATATACAGGGTGTTCCATTTGAAAAATGCAAGTGTTTGTCATTGTGATAGTTGGCACCTGTCGTTTGCCCGTTTTGACATTCGCAAAAGATAATAGACATAAAACCCTACAACTTTCATGTTTAAAGTTTTTTTCCCCCTCGTATAGCTAAAGCTGTAGGTAGGGGTCAAAATATGAGGAAACACCCTGTATACATTGTATAGAATGTTCCAGAGATTTCAGTTCATGAATTACAAGAACTAAAATGATCACTCTTCAATCCTACAAAGTGCTGAGTAGGATCTTTTTTAGTTTTGTTTTCATAAAGTTTTTATTTAAGAGGTTTTTGAATGGCCAGATTTTATTATTGGAAATCTTGATTTTACTTGTCAGTAGATTAACTTTGGTAACATTTCCCTAAAAATGACTTCTGAAAAAGCCTTACAATAAGTGAAATGATAATCATTGGTGTTTTTGACAAAAATCCATTTAAGTTTTCAAGAAAATTACCTCACTTTTATCGTTTTTTTTTTTTTTTTCTGAGGGCCGAATTATTCACCTTCTGATAAAATGTCGTCAAGTATGCAATCTGATGGATAAAAACGCAATCTGTAATCTCATTGATCGCCCAGTTATCCAGCGACCAATAGAATGGTAGATTTATCTTACCAGCAAGTTTATCTGAAGATGAATGAACTGGGCCTTAATTGAACAATGTTTGTATGATATAGGTCTTGTAATAAGTTGTAATTATAATTATAATTTAAACCAATTGGCATGAAACTACTTCCGAAAACTATTTGGCAATTATTGAAAATGCTGATTTTCCATTTTTAAAACATTTCCATGACAATAAGAAAGATTTCCAATACAAATTGAATTTGAAGACTGATATTTTGGCTTGGAATGGATAATGTAAGAGAGCCAGTTGAAAAAATCCAAAGACATTATAAGCCGAGTACATTTTCAGTAAGGAAAAGTGAATTTCTGAGTGATCCCCATTTGAACTGTTATAGAGTGCATTTTTGTGTCAAATCTTCTTTGTTTTTGAAGATAGTTGATTAGTGCGAAAACTTTCTAAATGTGCTTTTCAAATTAAAATCCAGTGTTGTACTCGGTTATTTTCTGCCCCTTTTAATCAATTCCGTTCTCTACTTCGTTTCTAGGTGGCAGTTCCAATGGTTCGGATCCAATGAAAGACAACGTAGCGCACAGCAGCGCCAGCGACTCGGACCTGACGTCGCTGGGTCCTCGATCGGCGCCGCCCCACGTGATCGGGGGCGGCACCAGCGGTAACGGCAACGGCAGCAGCAACGGATCAGAGCGCAGCAGCGGCACCCAAGTGGCCGCCAGCGGCAAAGACATAGCCGGTAGTAGACAATCTTTTAAGATCGCTATGGGAAACCCGTGTGAGATGTTTGTTGATGTGATGTAGAGTTGAGTTTGTTTCTTTTTAGGTAGGTTTAGTCAATAATTTCGTCTTTTTCTATTGGTGATTTTGTCAAGGGATTATACCTCAAATATGTAATTGTAATGGAAATGCTCCCAGAGCCATCAAAAAGTGGAATTTATTGATTAGACTTACTATATAGTTTTGTTTCTTATTGGCAGATACTCAATTATTTAACACTTACTCTGTTGCTCAACTTCATCATAAAGGGGTCATTTAGTGAAATTATAAATTTTCACTTACTACACTTTGCTGAGCATGAAAATTTAGTTGAGCAAAAAGACTCAATCAATTTAAAAAATAGGTGATTCAGGCAGTTGAAAATCTTCTAAAATAGGTCAGGATATTATTTGTGCCACAGTGAGCCTTTTGAAATTTGAACACTGAATAGAAAACAGGCGAATCTTGGTTATCAAAAATACATAAGTTTAAGATGACTTAGATCCGCTTACATCATTTTTTCAAAATTTGCCACTTTCTCTGTGAAAATTGATCCCATTGAGACCATAACATGAGTGACCTTTTCAACAACGGACAAATCCGTAGTGATCCCTTCCCTAGGCAGCTTTTTTACTTTTTGAAAACACATGAATTCATTTAAAAAAAAAACCTCAACTCTTTCTAATAAACTAACTGTTCGTTTGCATTTTCTAAAAATCTCAGTAAAACTATACTTGATGAGTGACATAAAAAAAAAGCAGCAGGTCAGTGATATTGGTTTTTTTTTTTTGTTGTAGTTTTTGCTTGGGTTGTATAACATTGTTTTTATAGTGTCCGATAATGGATTGTTAATTTTGTTTTATTTTATCAAATTTCAAATATCTCTTATCGCGAAATACAAATAATTAAGCAATACATATAATATTAAGAAAATGAGAATCGTTTCTCCTATATCATTATGCACCAACCATATTTTTTGAATTTTGTATATAATTAAAACAAATGGTATATATTTTATGTTATGAATGTAAAAAAAAAATAATTAGTTTACCTAGTGTAGTTTTATGTGCATGAAGCATGTCTTTGTTTTATCAAATAAAATGTTTGTTTATCTTTAAGCTTTTATGTTTTATTTGCCCGAGTTTTAATTTTGTTTTTTAATCGTATATGAAAATGTCTACAGTAAATTATGTTTGAAAATATATTCTCCAGAAAGTGCACATTTTCAGGTTGAATCTTTAATATTGATTGATTTATCGTTTGTGTCATTATCACTGTATTTGTTATTGTAGATATTTCATAAAAAAATCAATTATTATTTAGTTATTTTGGATTTTTCTATCATTTAAGTTTATTGGACCCAGAGACACATTTGGTTTGGTTTGTTTTGGTTTGTCGTTTTTCATCATTAACCTTTGTTTTTTTTTTCTTGATTTTCTTCACTAATTTATTATTTTATTGCAGTTTTAAGTTACCTCTAAGCGCAATTTACACACTTAAATTTGCAATTGACAATTGCTTGTCCGAACGGTAAGTGTAGTTGAATGTTTTTCGCATTTATTAACATTATTTTTTATGAAACATTTGCATTTTTGAATATTGTAATAGACCAGATGCTGATGAATTGCATTAATTATTGTATATAGATTAAAGAAACATATGTGATAAAACTTTTTTTTAGATCAGATCGGAGTCGTGAGCTACCAGTTTACTCAAACATAAGGAAAAACTGAGTATCATGAAGGCGATGAACGAATCAACTCAAGTATACCAAAAATAAACACACATTTTTTTAAGAAATATTTTATAAAGGCTTAAATGTATATTTTAAACGTTAAATGTACAGGTAATTCTCGGTAGCATAGTCAAGAAATTAGAATCTAGACTACATGGAACAAAAAGATTAGGAGTAGGTTTTTATATTTATTTAATTTATAGTTCGAATTAATGGCAATAGAATTGTATACATAATATGCGTCCTGGCTTTTTTTATTAATTTTATATTGACTTTATAAGACAGGACAAGAGCCTTGTCACTTGATTTTCTCCAAGACCATGATTTAAACTCATTCATTTTGCTCTTTTCATTGCTGGACAAAAATATAAAAATTATTGAGACAAGAAATTAGAAAAGTTTGTAAACCTTAATGTTGAAGAATATTTCCATCATATGTGTTTTTAATGTCAGGGTCTTTCCCCATATTATATTGACCCCCCCACTACAGGGGTTATGTGAAGAGATATCAAAAAAATGTAAGTATAAAAGTTTTGGGGTTTTACCTGAAATTTTTGTAGCCGATGTCAAAAACTTTTTTTATTTTTTTTCAGAAATGTCAAATTTTGACATATGGTCGGGTTTTCTTATGGAACACCCTATATATAATTTTATAGTTGAAAAGAGTCGATTTTTCTGATTTCAAATACAGGGTTGTCGTTATGTATGGAAACGGTCTGATATTCAAGAACAGGCTTGAAAAAAATGTACAATATTTCCTACCTGGGAGTTTTCGGGAATGCCCGATTCAATGGTGGCATTTGCAATGTTGCCAAGTTTAGCGTATCTAAGATGCCGTATGTCACTTGATTATTTTTAAATGGATGCCTCTCTTTATTTTTATTGTAGTCAATTCAGCGTCCCCACATTACTAAAACTCCTGAATACCAAAACTCCATTTGACTTGGTTTTTGAAATATGGCAACACAGATTTTTTGCTGAAATATATGGAAACAGTCTCGTATTCCAGAATAGACTTTAGCAAAATGTACAATATTCCCTACCTGAGGGTTTTTGGGAATGCCCGATTCAATGGTGATATTTGCAATGTTGCCAACTTTACCGTTTCTAAGATGCCGTATGTAACTTGATTTTTTTAAATGGATGCCCCTCTTTATTTTCATTGTAATTGATTCAGCGTCTCAACATTACTAAAATCCCTAAATGCCAAACCTCCATTTGACTTGGTTTTTGGAATATGGCAACGCAGATTTTTTGTTGAAATGTATGGAAACAGTATCGTATTCCAGAACAGGCTTTAGCAAAATGTACAGGTTATTGGTTATAAATGTCACCCCCTCTATCTTTTTTTTTGGCATTTTAGAAAAAAGTGTCCCAAATAAAAAATGTTTGGTTGAAATTAAATTTTTTGAAAAACTCACTTTTGCATATACTGGGTGTTTCAAAAAAGCTGGTCGTGCTCCAACTTTCTTATTTTGAATTGAATACCCTGAATATTATTCAATATTCGGATTCTACGTCAAATTCTGAGCAGATATCATGTGATATACCCTATACCTAAAATCAACTGTTTTGGAAATATTGACAGTTGAAAATTGACTTTTTTGCAAATGTGACAGGCTGTAAAACCTAAACGATTAACTTTTTAGCAAAATCGATCTTACATTTTTTTCTAAGATTTTCACAAGTTATCATTTGACACCAACTTTGAATTTAACCGGAGATGAAATTTAATTGGAATTTTCAATCATGAAATAAATTCAAAGTTGATGTCAAATTTCGGTGTCAACCTTGTGTCAACTGATAGTTTATGAAAATCCAAGATAAAAATGTAAATTCGGTTTTGCTAAAATTAACCGTTTATGATTTACAGCGTGTCAAAGTTGCAAAAAAGTCAATTTTCAACTGTCAATATTTCCAAAACAGTTTAACTTAGGTATAGGATATATCACATGAAATCTGCTCAGAATTTCACGTAGAATTCGAATATCCAATAATATACAGGGTATTCTATTTGGAATAAAAAATTTGGAGCACGACCAGCTTTTCTGAAACACCCTGTATATGCGAAAGTTAGTTTTTCAAAAAAAATTATTTCAACCATAAAGGAGGAAACCCACTAGCAACACGCCACGCCATTCTATACCACGCGACGCCATGTGACGAAAATGTATGCGTATATTCTTCCATTCATTTCCATGTGCCGCGTACACACTTGCTACACGCGATACCACGACATAACACGTCCCGTCACCTATGTCACATGGCGTGGGGTAGCGTAGCATGGCGTGGCGTGTTGCTAGTGGGTTTCGGCATTAAAACTTTTATTTGGGACACTTTTTTTCTAAAATGTCAAATAAAAAAGATAGAGGGGGGACATTTATAACCAATAACCCTGTACAATATTCCCTAACTGGGGGTTTTTGGGAATGCGGGATTAAATGGGGGTATTTGCAATGTTGCCAAGTTTACCGTTTCTGAGAAGCCGTATGTAACTTGATTTTTTTTTAAATGGGTGCCACTCTTTATTTTTATTATAATTAATTCAGCGTCTCAACATGTCTGAACCCCCTAAATATCAAACCTCTATTTGACTTAGCTAATGAAATGTGGCAACAAAGCTTTTTTAGTGTAATGTATGAAAACGAAAGTGATCAAAGTTTAACAACAGTAAAATTACCAAATAAAAACACTTAAACACAATCTTAATTTATGAGGTGCTCAAAGTGTTCACCATTCACATAAACTACTTGCTGAGCCAAATTTTGTGAGGTGTTCAGTAATGTTTCTCCTGATATGTTGCCATACCCCTGTATATCTGGTTTAACTACTTTTAATTGAGCCCTTTTGGAAATATCTGACTCTAAACTTCAAGAAAATAATACATTGAAACACATCAGCTCTGTTCCAACCGACATGAGAACCATTCTATAATGGTAATTTCCAGTTGCCCACCTATTTTTGCAATAAGTTGAACGTTTATCCTAATTGACAAATAAATTGAACGACTGGAAATTACCGTTTTAGAATGGTTCTCATGTCAGTTGGAACAGAGCTGATGTTGATGAGCTGAGTCATATATAGGGTGTTCCATAAGAAAAAACTGACCATCTGTCTAAATTTCACATTTCTGAAAATACAAAAAAAAAATTGACATTGGATTCGAAAATTTCAGGTAAAACTTTTCTATTTACAATTTTTTGATATCTCTTCACATAACCCCTGTAGTGGGGGGGGTCAATATATTGTGAAAGACCCTGTACTTCAACAAGTTCAAAATTTCACTTCATATTTGGTTTTAGCCATTTTCTCTACCACTGCAAATTTCTAAATAATATTTAGATGCTTATTATTGATTCAAATTTCAAAATCCTTTAAAGTTTTGATTTTTTTTTTGCTTTTTATATGTATCCTGTTAGTTTGTTAATTGATTATTTTGTGATATATTTACTTATTTGCAATTTTTAATATTTATAAAAGAAACATAGTTATTATATTGTATGTATTTGTTCTACAGGAATAACAGCCAAAAGTTGCTGCTTCAAAAATGAATCATAGCAAAGTTGTTGAAGCAATAGAAAGCTTTTGACTGCTCACCCTGTATGTGGTATTATTTTAAAGCATTTATTAGACATAATTAATTAATAGAGTTAAAAAATATAAACGCTAAGAACAGGGTATTTTTGTTTTTGCAACTTTGAAAGACACATTCTAAATTTAAAAAGTCAAAAATTATTGTTAAAAATATTTAACAGAACAAATTTTTCCATCTTGCATTAAAGTTTCCAAGATGTAACTTTGGGGTTACATATTTTTAACAATTTCGTTTGCCCAACAGTGAAATTATTGTGCTATTTTTTGTGGAAAATACAGGGAATCATATTGTAACCAAAAAAAAATGTTGTGTGACTGAAAAATGGTTTTATGTTATTATACAGAAAGTACTCGAAATATAAAAAGGAAACAGTAATGTAAAAAAGTTAGGTGTTTTATTTGTATCCTTATAGACAATAATTTGTCTCAAAATTAGATTTTCTATTAAAAAGAATGGGTATCAGAAAGGAAAGTTTTATTCTGAGGTACCCTATCTACAATTTGAAGACAATTATCCTGAAAGTGAATAAATTCAACTACCTGTTGCAAGGTAAATTCCTGGTATTGGAATTTAGGAAGATGCTCAGAACACTTGGATAGTGTTTGTAGGTTGAGTTAGTACACCTGGGAAGTTTGGTAGGTAACTGGGGAGCAAGAACCACTGTTGGATTATTACTGATTTTTATCAAACAATTATAAAGAATATTTTCCCTTCTTGGCTTCAATCAACCGAAAATATGAGTCAGCGCTAAGAAAAACAAAACACAAAAAAGGTTTCGTTATGAAGAGTCATCAATATGTGCTGATGATAGAGAATAGGATTTTTGAACAGTCAGGCTAATATTTATTATTATTATTATTATTATTATTATTATTATTATTATTATTATTATTATTATTATTGT